GTCATTTTTAGATATGCATCTTCAGGCAAGTTATGTCCCTTGTCTAAGTCCATTTGTAAAATGAAAAGGTTGATTTTGGTCAATTCTAAATTTCTTTCTTAAAGTTTAAACTTTTAACACTATGAACTTTTCTAAGAACTAGCTTTTTTTTTTTTTTAAATGAAGAAAACCTCATCCCAGTACTGGGGAAATCCTTTGGTTTAATCCCTTTTAGTCTTTGGGTAAATATTTAGAAGTAATATCCTAATTTGTGGCCTAAACTAAAACCTTAAATTACTGGAATAAAGTCCATGAGAAATCTCAAGAAAAATACCAATATTTATTTCATTACCTCTTTTGTTACTCTGTTCTCCCAAATTGTCTCTCATTCTTTACCCCTGCCCCACTCTATGTTGAGCTTAAGCCCCCATATTTACTCTATAGGATGTCTAGTGTTTTGCTTATCCCCCTCCTTTATTTTTTAAATTTTTAAAAATTTTTTATTTTTTGTAGAGACAAGGTCTTGCTATGTTGTCCAAGCTGGTCTTGAACTACTGGACTCATATGATTCTCTCACCTCAGTCTCCCAAAGTGCTGGGATTACAGGAGTGAGCCATCATGCCTGGTCTCCTACCCTTTTTAATAGAAAAACCTAATTAAGATTTTTTTAGTCTTTGGATTGTTTTTGCCTTCAGTTGGTGACCCTAGAAAGAAAATAGGTCTTATGTCAGCAGAAGCTGAAAACAAAGAAAGCTGTTGTTAATAAACAATAAAAAAGCAAACCTTTATATAATATGAATGCACTGATAAACACAACCAAGGATATATGCTTGCCTACTTGTGATCCAAGTGTTAGATTAAATTTATGTAATTATTTTAAAACAGAGGAGGATGGTGTCCAAGATCTCACTCATCAGCCTGCTCCTCATGTTTGCTGGTAACATTCCAGGAACAACTTCAACATCGACAACCTTGAAATCTATGGCAGTCTCTAATCCTGGGACAAGCCTGAACCCAGGGACCATGCCTAATCCCAGGAAAGCAAAGATTCCAGGATGACCCTGAATCAAAACACAACTCCAAGTACTGCAACGACCTCAAAGATAGTCACAAGTATGAATATGAACTCTGTGACAAATGGTAACACCATACTCAATCCAATGAACAACATTCACTTTCTTTTTCTATGTAATATTTTTGCTGTTTTATGTTCATTTGGGCTGAAGTGAAGTTGAACTGTCTATATTTTTATCTAGTTCCTAATTTGCTGCCGAATGACAAGCACACTAGGAAAATATAATTTATTTCAACTTATTACTTAAGAAATTATCATTATCCTAGCTTGGATTGGTTGTTTGCAAATTATAACTGTGTAAGTTTAAATATTATGGCTTCCCTCCATATTAAAAAAGTATGCGCTACCCTATTAAATGCAAAATACAAGCAAAATGCCACATTTGCCATATATAATATATGTTTGCAAAAATGAATTGAAACCTATATATTTACATTAATAGTGTAAGATAAAAAATTATATAGGTGGCATTTAAGGCATTTAACCAAAGTAGGCCTGCGTGTATATGTAGGGGGTAGGTTAAGGGGTAGGGGATAAGGAATAGTATGGGAGGAGTTGTTTTTGTTTTACTTTTTATTAAGTAGACAAAAAGTACTAATCTGATAAGGAGAAACTATAGTGGCTTTACAAAATAACAAGCTCATCTGTATTAACATATTTCATAAATGTATAATAGTAATACACTGCTCCAGAAAATGATGCTAATTCTGCTAACCTTTGTAATACACCATACTGTTGCTCCAAAGACAAGACTACCATGCACTGAGTAAACCTTTGTCTTGTGTTTCAAAAGATAATTTGTAAATCAGATGCCTGAAAATTTAGAACTCATTTTCCCAGAGTAGTATATCTCATAACTGTTAGACTTTCATGCTGGTATATAAAGGTTGATTTACTACAAATACATAATCATAACAGTGATAACAATCATGTTATTAATAGTGCACTTGTTAAGAGTTTTCACTTAGATTTGAAACACAACTCTGATTCTTACAAGTTTTGCTTCTATGGGTTAAATACACGATCTAATAGGATCCCCAAACTTCAGTAATAAATTGACTGCTAAGTGAATCACTTAGGGTGCCTATTTAAATACATAAATTAGGCCCTGGCCATGAGATTTTGATTTGGAAGCCCAGGGTGGGGGCTGGGAATTACATTTGCTTGTTTTAATTCTCCAGATCTTTGTGATAACTATGAGTGGGTTTCAGTTTATATACACATCAATCACTGTCAATAATAATACCTCCTCTATATGTATTAAATGAGAAATTATATAATATGCCCAGTTTTCCTGATACAGAGAAAGCACTCATTAAATGTCAGCTATCATTATTATTTAGCACTATTACCCAAAAAGCAATTGTCACTATCACAATATTCCTAAGAGGAAAACTCTTCATTGTAACTTTGAGGCTTTACATTTTTAGTTATACTTACAAAAGTAACATATGCTCCTGGCAAGTCAAATCATGCAGAGATATATAACAGAATTTTTTTTTCAGGCTGTACTTTATTTTTCTCATAATTTTTTTTTTGAAGATGTGGGGTACAATTCAGGGTTAGGTATACAAATATTGATTATGCAGGTACCCTTGTTGGTGAGGTGAGCCCCTCCCTAACAGAAATATAACTTGTCCTCTATCTCTTCCAATCACACTTTTGAGATAAGCAATGTGAACAATTTAACATGTATAGTTTCATATATTTCTCAGTCTATACACACACATATGCATGTGCACACACACACAACTCTGCACTTTGTAAGTAAGTGTCGGAGTCATCCTTATGGGTCTTTTTCAAGCAGCATGTAGAGGACTTCTGCCTGCCCAGTATCCATTTTTCCTTATTCTGCCATCAGCAATCCAGTTTTCCTTTGAGAAACTATGCCCCTAAACCCTCCTTTCAGTTCATGCAATTCAGCTAGGGCTAGCTTCACAAAACACTGAGCTTCAGGAATGGGCACATGACCCAGGCCTACATAACCAAGAAATTCCATCCCTTTTGCCATAGTGACTGCCTTGGGAACTGACACATGACTCAAGCCAGACCAATAAGACCAACTGCATTTGCTGAAATTATTGGGAAAGAGGTGTAGGTTGGGAGGACAGAAACTTGGGAGGACACAGCTTAGGAAGAGCTGCCTGGGAAGAAAACCAACACAAAGAAAGTAGAGTCCAGAGCCAGGGAAGACTGATATTCTCCAGGTAATATTGTTTGAAGCTCTGTATTTCTCATATGAGAAGCTAGCATATTTTGTGATTTCCTTAAGTAATAATAATAAATTCCTTTGTAGTTCACAAAAATTTGAATTGCATTTCTGTCACTTGTAACAACAAAATAAAATTACTCCATAATATATGCATTATTCTATAATATAGATATATTATCATTTATTCAACAATCACCCATTTGAGAACAAAATATAATACTCATGACCCCTAAGTTAGAACACTTACATTAAGTTGTCATAGGCAGCAAAAACTTGGCAGTGTGCACAAACAAATTGAGATTGAGAAAGAGTGGGGAGAGAGGTGAAGAAAGACAGAAGAAAGATGGAACACTTGTTTAATTGAATTCAGATACCCTTAAGACCAAGAAGTTTGAAGAACTGGGGCTGGGGGGGGGGCGCGGGTGGATTCAGGGAAACAAGAGAGAAAGAAAATTGCATTTATCAGTGCTCCACCTCCTTAATAACTTTGAGGAACATCTCCTCACCTTCCTGTGAAAGTCCTGGTTCCAATTCTCGTCTCAGTTGCCATTTCTAAATTGCCTAAGACAATTTTGATTTTCTTTTGTATTTGAGATGAATTATATTTGTATTCTAATCCTAACCTTTAATACAACCAGGATATTTTGACTTACCCTATTTTGTCTAAGTAATTAAAAACAAACATTGGTAAGAGAGGTAGACAGATGTGTGCCTCCCTTGCCTCTGTCCTCCTTTAAATTCTTTTTAGTTTACAAGAAGTAAAGATTTCTGGAAAATGTCAAAGCCTGGATTTTTCTTCAGGACCAGAAACTGTTAAGTTTGCTTTCTTTCTTTGCAGTGATCCAGAAAAGGCTAAAGGGAAGCAAGATGGGCCCAATGAAGACCCCTCAGTGGGGTTTCTGTGAAACCTATTACTTAGGATGGCTTGAGAGTGCTAAGGATATGGAAACTGAGAAAGATTAAGTCCTGTAGCTAATGAGCAGCAGAACTAAGACTAAACACAGTCCTCAAAATTCCAAAGTCCATGATTTCTCTATTATGTCACATTGTCTTTAAAGTTCAATTACCATGAATTCATGTCATGTTAAGTGAAAACAAGTAAAACTGACCAAATACTGTCACAAGCTCTCAAAAGAAAGGCAAGAAAGAAAAAACAATGATGGTAGGAAAGGCAATGTATGCATCATACCTATTATTAGGGAGGAGACCACAGCATTTCCAGAAAGGCTTTCTAGGAACTAGTCTCAAGTAAGGACAGTACGAACCAATACCATGCTCCAGGCTGTCCCTTATGCTACCTTCACAAAGATTTCCCACAATTCCTCTGAATTATTTTCTAAATCACCCTAATGCTGCCTTACATAGCATATCACTAAAAATTCTCAGAAATAAGCTCTTAAAGTTTTATTTCTTATTTTTAAATGTTCCTTATTATCATGTTATGGATGTTATTAATCAAAATATACCTGAAAACAAAAGATTCTTTGTATGTGTGTGTTTTTTACCCTTGGTAATTAATCCATTGTAGATAGTATTTTAAAAACTGATGTAGGATGGAGAAGTCAATAGGAAATGGGTAGTCTATGATAGCTGCTTACCCAGCAACATACTCCCTGGTAAACTTGTCTTCAACTCCTGTTAACTCAAATGAGGAAAGCAAACTTACCATCTCTCTAATATTTGTTATCATTTAAAAAGTTATATTAAGAGACACTAAAACACAGTATTTCTTACCTTCGTGCAACGTAATAAAAAATAGGATTCCCAGCTTTGGAAGTCCCAGCTTGGTAGAAAATACTTAATGTTTTCAAAGCTTTGAACTCTTCTTTTTCATGTACCTGGTGCCTAAAAGATAAAGAACAGAGTAACTCAGAGGCTTTATATTTTCCACTGAATATTTACAAAAGTCTATAACTGAATAAATAATAAAACATAAAATGACAAAAATATATTAAAAACAACAGGCTTTCTGAAGAACAATTTGGCAACATGCACCAAAAATTTCAAGGTGTTACTCTCTGAACCACAAAAGTACTTTCAGGACTATTCGAAGAAAACTACTGAATAGGGATATTAATCATAGGATTTTTACTCATGGTAATTTTTTCCTTACTAGACAGAAGCTTTTGCATTTTCTTTTCTTTCTTTTTTTTCCCCCAAAGTTTATCAATCTTTTCTAGTTTATGTATTTTGAATAGATGAAAAAGGGCTTCCTTTACCCTTGTTTTTTTCTTTAATTCATGGGAATTTATCCTCATAAACAGTATGAAAATCTTTTTCAGATAGTTACTCAGTTGTCTCAACACCACTTATTAAAAATCAGCTGGGCTCGGTGGCTCAGCCTGTAATCCCATGCCTTTGGAAGGCTGAGGTGAGTGGATTGCCTGAGCCCACGGGTTCGAGACCCGCCTGGGCAGCGAGACCTCATCTCTACAATAAATCAAAAAATCAGCCGGGCGTGGTAGCGCATGCCTGTAATTCCGGCTACTTGGAAGGCTGAGGTGGAAGGATCGCCGGAGCACAGGAGGTGAGGCTGCGGTGGCCGGGAGCGGCCACTGCACTCCAGTCTGGGCAACCGAGTGAGACTCCAACTCAAAAAAAAAAAAGAAAAAAGAAAATCCATCCTAGTCTCTCTGATTTTGAATACCACTTTTATTATATATTAAATTTCCATGTGTATTATATGTATTGAAATATATTTCTGAAAAAGTATGGTTTAATTTGTATATATTCTGCTCAAGACTCAATGTGCTTATTTAATCTGAAGATACATTATTCGTCAACCCTGGAAAGTTCTCATCCATTATCCCTTCAAATATTACCTCTTGCCCATTCTCACTGGAATACAATGACATATGCTGGAACTTTCTCATTTTATCTTCAGCATCTCTTAACCTCTTTCAAATTTTCCATTTCTTTATCTAGCTATACTGTCTGTATGCTAGGTAATTTTCTCAGAAAAAAATCTCCCAGCTGTGAATTTTTTAAAAATTTAATATATATATTTTCTTTTACCTAGTAGTTTATGAGTCTTGTATCTTGGGGGAGGAGACTGTATTAACTCAGCCCTTCATGTTGCTGGTACCAGGTCAGCATTTGTGTATTATTAATGAAAACAATCTAGATATCATTTGATAGGAGAAACAGATATATATTTGCATAGATAAATGACTGGGAGGCTATTTACCAAATGTTAACTGAATTATTTTCAAGGGGTGGAATAACAGATTTTTTTTTTTAGTTTCTTCTATAATTTCTATATTTTAAATAATTTGATAAGTGGCTTTTTAATAATTGAGAAAATTATAGCGCTATCTTCATTTTTTAAAAAATCAAAACTGGGACCATGTGCGGTGGCTCATGTCTATAATCCCAGCACTTTGGGAGGCGGAGGTGAGAAGACTGCCTGAGCTCAGGGGTTCAAGACCAGCCTGGGCAACTTGGCGAGACCTCGTCTCTACAAAAAATTAGCCAGTGTGGTGGCACGTGCCTGTAGTTCCAGCTACTTGGAAGGCTGAGGCGGAAGTATCGCCTGAGCCCAGCAGGTGGAGGCTGCAGTGACCTTGAGCATGCCACTGCACTCCAGCCTGGGTACAGAGTGGGACTCCAACTCAAAACACACACACACACACACACACACACACACACACACACACACACACACACACACCCAAAAATGGATCTCAAAGTACATCAGTGGGAATTTAGAAGACAACAAAAAGAACGTTTAACATTTATTAAACATTTTATATGAACCAATGTTCTAAGTAAATTAGATAATTTAGTTGTTAAAAGTGAGAAGATCACTTTGTAAGGGACTATAGGATCTCAGATTAAAGAAGTAATAAAAAGATTTCCTTGGAAAAATAAAAATATGGCTAGGATGTCCTCAGAAATGATGAATTAAAGTTTTATAATTTTGTATTACGTACTTTTTCATGAGATAACATGAAAATTTTGTATGAAAAATACTCCCAGCCGGGCTCGGTGGCTCAGCCTGTAATCCCACGCCTTTGAGAGGCTGAGATGAGTGGATTGCCTGAGCCCGCAGGTTCGAGACCCGCCTGGGCAGTGAGACCTCATCTCTACAATAAATCAAAAAATCAGCCAGGCGTGGTAGCGCATGCCTGTAATTCCGGCTACTTGGAAGGCTGAAGCGGAAAGATCACTGGAGCCCAGCAGGTCGAGGCTGCAGTGGCCCGGAGTGGCCACTGCATTCCAGTCTGGGTGACAGAGTGAGACTCCAACTCAAAAAAAAAAAAAATACTCCCTTAATTATATGGGAATAAACATTTGTTACACTGGGAAAAATCTATTAGAGTTAAAAATAAAAATTACGTTGGGAAGGATGTTATATATTCATACACTATTTTATATATTCAAAGTCTTTTAACAATATCAATGAATTGGAATTATGTGTATGAAACAATGACCTACATGTATTATGACTAAAAACAGGCACTTACAATTCAAGGCATATTACATGTCTTTAACTTCTAAACATCAAATTCTGGTTTTTTTCCTTTCTGCTTCTGGCACCTACTATGAACAAAACACTCAACCCACAGCCACTATGGAGCACTTGCCAAGTGTAAAGTACTGTCAAATGTACTTTAAAGACTACAGGATTCAGTAAACTACCTTCATTATAACACCACAGAGGTAAGTGTCTAACAAAGAAAATCTATAATATGAAAATAATGTTTTCACTTCCTTATAAATGTATTTAATATAAAAACATATCAAAGTAAGATGATAAAATATGATTCAATGAGACACTATTACTGTTATAAGAAAATCAACATATAAAACAACATATATATATACATATATATATAAATAATATATAAGGTAAGAGAAAAGTTGGATGCCCAGATATACAAAGCAATCATTAAGTACATCTGTCCTGATAACCTTCTATCACATCTAACCAATGGTCTGGTGGTAAAGTTTGCTTCTCAATGGATAAGAAAGCAATACATTTCAAGGTTGTACTTTACCTAGTCATAAATTCCTCAAACTTTGAACTGGTAAGGTTAAGGCTGGACCAGTGTGTATCTGCCACGGGTTTGTGCTCTGGAGGGCCCAGGTATGCAAGAAGTGTTGCCATCTTATCAAAAGGTCGTCTTCCAACAGCTTTATGATCCCTAGACACAGCAAACTACTTAGAAAAAAGAGGAGCAGTTCACATTTAGCAGTATACATTTCTTTAGATTGCCCTTGGCTGCTCTTCTTTTAATTGTCAGCTGGTGGTCCCTGATTTGTAAAAGGCACCAGAAAGACTTTAGGTCATGCCCACATATATTTCAACCCATTAACAATTCATAAAGGATTAAAATGCCCTCTCTTTTAAACTCTCATCTCCTAATTGCTTAGCCTTAGCTTCATGGGCTCCTACTTTTTCATTAATGTGCAAGTCATTCTTATTGGCATTTAAAAGTAATCTGGACCATTCTACCTTTGTAAAGAACTCCTCATACATAGGGATTTGGGCTCTTTACAAGCCTATATGAAAGGACAGCAAGTAATTTACGTTGTAAGAGACTTGAATAGCAGCTAATGAAGCAATGTCCAAATTTAACAATTTCAATTACTGAGTACTTTCTCTATAAAGCTTTATCTGCATGTACTTAGAGTATCACAAATGAGTTTTTTATAGAATTAAAATACTGGCAATGTTTTAATTATTAAATTCCTAAGATTTAGCTGTTCTTCAGATTCAAATGCCAACAATAATTGGACCATCTAGTAAATTTAAATTTTTCTGTTTTATTGCATATTATGTTTGACAGTTTGCAAACCAAAAACAACCCAAGGGGCTGGCTAATTTGTGATTTCTTAACTTGACATAAAACAAACATACAAAAAATCAATAGCACCTAGGTAGGCTTGTTGACGGACCATTTAATATGACAACTTTTACCCATATATATTTTTTAAAGAGTCTACCTTTCGTTTTCCAAATCATAATTCTTACTTCAAGAAGGTGCAAAGTAAAAAGCACTATTCATGACCAATAACTTTATGAATATAAATTTAAGCTGACAGTGTTCACTATCCCTATGACTGGGAAATCTTACCTGTTGCTGGAAAGATACTGGCCAATTTTCTCTTGATTGTTCCAGAGTAGACGATGTAAAGCAAGCACATTGCCATCACTGATGAAGGAAAGACTATGATTTACTGCATCACTTGTAGGACAATCAGATGCTATATCAAGGAAAAACCTTAAAAAATGCAAAGCCATTAGAGTTTTCAACACCTGATACACTCATACCTATGTCTGAACTAAATTTATATGAAGTAACTTTGTAAAGTAACTGAGATTACACATAAGGAGGGCTTGTTCACACAATGTGACGTGTCATTAGACAAAGCAAAGACAAGAAGTTGGCTTTCCATTTCTGACACCTGACTTCAGTTTTAGGTAGGCTCTGGAGTTAGAGAACAACAAAACTTAGATGGATAAGACTTTGGAGAAAAGCTAGAATTTTACTGGTAAGGAAATGGAGGCCCAGAAAGAGAGAAAACCTCCATAAAGCTATACAGCCTGTTAGGTCAGACCCAGGATCAACCCTTTGAGTCTTTGAGCTTTCTATGGGTAGTCAGTCTGCTATAATATGAATCCTATGCTGACATTCACTATGGCTTATAGTCTAGCAACATACCTACCTTATAAATTCCAATTTCCCTAACAGAAAGAGTCAGTAACAACCATGATGGTGATAAACTGGAAGACAGAGTTGTACAAGGCTAGCTTAGATGATGAGATTAGATTCAAACTGTGTGAAAAGTATAATACTGGACATTAACTTAAATTTACAAAGCACTTTCTCATGAATTATTTCATTTATTTCTCTAAAAACAACTCTAGTTTACAGACAAACTAGGTATGGAAATCAAAATCTAACAGAAAACTTTCAAGAAATCATAAAGTTCAGTTACTCATGAACAAAATCTTATGTGTTTGCATTACTTGGTTTAAAGAGTAACTTTTTTGTTCACATGAACTTTCAAATTTAAGCATCATAAATATTCTAACATGAAAAAAATTCAGATTATATACTATTATCTATACAGAAACATGCATAATTTGGTTTCAATCTTGAAAAAATAAATCTTTTCCTTCTTCCTTTTCCCTATATCGCAGCAACCACAAATCCTTTATTTTACTAGATATGTAAAAAAATCCTTATTAGTTTTTCAAGTATGGAAATCACTATCAAATTTTTTTTTTTTTTTTTGAGTTGGAGTCTCACTTTGTCACCAAGACTGGAGTGCAGTGGGCCACTCTCGGCCACCGCAGCCTTGACCTGCTGGGCTCCAGCGATCCTTCTGCCTCAGCCTTCCAAGTAGCTGGAACTATAGCTGCGCTACCACACCCGGCTAATTTTTTGATTTATTGTAGAGATGAGGTCTCACCAAGTTGCCCAAGCAGGTCTCGAACCCTTGGGCTCAGGCAAGCCACTCACCTCAGCCTCCCAAGGCACGGATTACAGGCTGAGCCACCGAGCCCGGCTACACGATCAAATCATAAAGAATAATAACATATTTTATGACTGTCTTTTATAGTAAGATAAGACAAACTATGTTTTGACCTAGAGAGAGAAGAGGACTTAAAAAAAAAAAAAGCTACACATAGGAACTTCATGTAGACCAGATATACAGACCAAAGTGAAATTTAAAATATTTGGATCAAACAGAGCAATTAACTAAGTGGCAGGCAGCTTACCTTCGTGCTGCATCAAAGTTGCTTTTCACGAAATCATTAAAAGGCCGCATATGCTCTTCTTTTGTGAAGAGAACATGATTGGCAATACTCTGAAGTATCTAAACATTAAAACAGGATTATAAATAATCAGATGAGTTACTGTATGAAGCCTATACATGAATGTATTCGTTAAAAACATAAATTTTCTCACCGATATAATTTCTGCTGGTAGTTAAAATTAATAATTTCTCATTCTAGAAATTATTCTAGGTGTTGTTTATACACTTCCCAAATATGATTATATTGATGCATAAAAATACATACTAAAAATTTGTAATGTCTTTTCAAATAAAAAATCCTATAATCTACATTCCAGTCTCTATGTCAGAATTTCCAGAATGATTACACAGAAAACTATCTTCAGAATACAGAACATTTGCTAGAATATTTTCCCATAATAAGGCCCATCAGGTACCATCAGGCACCAATCTAACGAATTCCTTTGTAATATAAATAAAACAAAACAAAAGCACATAACTGCAAACCATAGGGCACTTCAAGAAGAAGTTCTGTGAGTATGAAAAACTAAAAATTTAGTTGGAAGGGAATTTAATATAGGTAGATTATCAAAATAATTCACCTTTGACATTAACTTCAAGCCCCTTTCGATTCTAGGTGGTGGCTTTTTATCTAAAATTCCTGCTTCATATGGTGAGACAATGGCAGGATTGATAAATCTGAGGAACATGGCACTTCCTACTGCACCGATGCTGTTCTGAGGGAAACGTTGGCTAACCACCTAAAAACAAGGAGTTGAGAATTGAGAATAAAGTTTGAATTAAAATAAGGAAAGGGGAAGGAAGAGCTTGAAGGTCAAACTTGGCATAAAAACTCTAAATCAATCAATCCTCATGAATGATACATTTCTATTTTTTCTCCTTTCCCCAAAACATCAGAAAATAAAGTTTACTCTCAAGTCTAGTCTTGCATCATATTAAAGCACAATTAAGGTATCTCAGAGGGAAGAAAAACCTCATGGGTGAGGTGGGAAGAAGAAACCTGAAAAAAAGATCTTCATTGTGTTATCACTGTTTATGCTGTAAGCTTGATGAGTAATGAAAATACACCAAATTTTCATACGAAGATTATCACATTTTACTAAGATTAATAGACAAGAAAGTATGGTCAACTCTTACAAGGCGAGGCTAAGTTTTCAACAGCACACCCATGAAAATCCTATACCTACCAGTAAATATTTACATTTTGTTGTGTACCAGGTACGATTGAATTTCTTGAGAAAAATGCTTACCATATACAAAATAATTTTTTTGCTTAGATTCCTACTGAGAGAAAAAAACTTACTTACAAGTAATGTTACTGCCAGCTCCTTTTCTTCACCAGCATACTTTATAGCATAAGGACCTACCTATTGTTTAAACCATGGAGGAACAGGAATTCTTGGGAACCTAAAAGAAAAAAAGGATCCCACCAGAAGAAAGAACCCCTATGTCTACCTCGATTTATAATTCTTTCAAATACAAATATTAAAGATTTAAGAAATGGTCGCCCAACCTGAAAAGCAATGTGAAGCCAATATTTGAATGGATTTATTTTCTTTTTATAAAACATTTTCCATTGAAGATAAAGTATTAGGTATATTAGATTGGGAAACTGGCTCAGCTTCCATCTTTTCCCGGCGCCTCCTGTTTTAAGTTACATTAACATATAAAAATTACATTGTTCTGGAATTTATATTTAATATATTCTATGTACAAATACTTATTTTTTAAAAACACATATGTAATGTTTTAATCTCTACAACTACTCTTGCTTAGTGTGGCTAACTGCTGTTAAAAGTAGCAGTGACTACAATAACAAAGCTGTGGCACTTCACTCAATATTTTGGGATTCCAGGAATAAACCTGCATTTTAAATTTATGTGCAGAATTTTATGTAACTAATTTTTCCACAATGTTTCAATAAAGTCATACTTCTTGTCATGAATTCATACAGCTCACTTAGATTAACTCTGGAAAAAATAGGACTAGTTCACTTTATCCTATTTCCATTTAGTGCTTCATGTGGCCCACGTTTTAAATGTGCTTTTATCCACTGCCTGGTATCTCAAAATAATTTTCTATCATCTCTGATAGGAAGTTAGTAAAAATAAGATTTTGGAGAATGAAATATTTGTAAGAGGTAAGTTATAACTAACATAGTCTCCCCTTCACCTACACTGCACACACAGTTCAGGAGCATTCTTTATGTCACATACTTTGGGTACTTGTTGCATGAAGAGTAACCGTACACTTAAAGATGAAACTGGTTAAAGTGGTTAAATACAGATGCTTCAGTAGAATGGCTTTAAAACCAAATGCTGCTTATTTTTAGCTGAAATATATAAAACAGAATTAGATATAGAATTTTCAGCTAAAACTATAGAAAGATAGACTTAAAATTTCAAGTGCTTCTACTATTCCAGTAAAGTGTTTAACCTCAGGGATTAGGAACATCTTTGAAATCTGAGAAAAGGTCAGAAAAATGAACATATGCATTTACACAGACAAAATTCTTCATATGACTTAAGAATGCTTATAGACCACCATTGCTACTGTGGGTCTGTCAAAATTCCCAAATTTTAGTTTTAAAACAGATAAAACATCAAGAGACTTAGAAACTGCCTTTTTTTTTTTTTTTTTTTTTTTTTTTTGAGATGGGTTCTCACTTTATCACCCAGGTTGGAATACAGTGGTACAATCACAGTTCACTGCCTGGGCTTGCATGAACCTCCTGCCTTGGCCTCCCACAGTGCTGGGATTACAGGTGTGAACTACCATGCCCAATCAAAAACTACTTTATATTTCATTTTAAATAGATTGTTTTAAAAGAATTAGTACTTAATCAGTTTAACCCATTAAAATCTCGAAGTGGCTTTTAAAAAGCTAAAGCCATAGTTTGGTTTTCAAAGAACCAGTTAGCTTATAAAATATTAACCTATTGTGGAAATAGCTTATAAAAATCAGTAACTTGAAGAGTTCATTCAAAATACACTTTTTTTTTTGATTAGTCAAGTGAAGCAGTGGGAATGGAGAAGGAACAAGGAAATTTGTAATTGGCTGTGATTCATTATTCAAAATACATTTTTTGAAAGTAGCTATTTTATGGTTTTCTGTAGGACAAGGAAGTTTTAAAGTGAGACTTAGATTTATACCTGATTTATATTTAAAAGTATTCAGCATCAGAATTTAATGACAATCTGAGTGAATTATTTCTCAAAAGGAAAATATTGTAACACTTACAAAAAATACTATACTTTTACCACCTTCAAAAATAATTCATGTCAAAACCCAAAGTTCCCATACCTCAGGAACACATATTGTTTCATGTATCATATAAATATGTATCTCACTGATGGTAGAATCAATATATTTTTGGAACTAAAAACTGATTAAAAAACAGTCCGTAAAAATACTGTATAACAAGTTTCATGAGTAACTTCATAAAAGAACTGCTTTTTTCATTCACCACTAATTAACATAAAAGTAATTTTACCTCATAATATACATACATATACTCAAGTGCTTTTTTTAATCCATAAAAATCTAATTTTGACCCAAAAGACATTTTGCATAAAAAGTCAAACTGGGCCGTCTATGTGTTGAAACCAGCTAACAGGCAAATGTGCCCTTTATTTCCCATGGTGAAAGCTAACTACACAATGCAAGAGCATCACTACCCATACGTGATTAATTACTGAAAATTCTCCCTGAGTTAGGCAGACAGTTACCTTCCAAAGTAAGTCTAATTACACATTATATGGTCGAGTATAATAAACAGTTATCAGTAATATGACTACACAGCAACACAGCAGAAGCCATCCCAATCCATGATACATATATCCCAAAAGAAAATCAGCTTGCTCTTAAAAGAAAAGATCATTAGATTTTGTTAAAGCAAACAACTCCATAAACAACACTTTAAATTTATAATGACTATACTGTACTTTGGGATGTGCTCTAAAATATCTCAAATTACCAATCAGATTCCCCTTGTTGCCATGAGGAGCTCATATCACCTGTGCTGAGAAATATATTCCAAAACTTAATGTTACCCAGAAACTTAAAAAAAAAAAAGAAAAGAACTCTAGTAGGAAAAAAAAAAACATTTCAAGAAACAATTTTAGACAAAATCTTAATAAATAAAGCAATGGTAGAAAGGCTAGAAACATGCTCTAGAAAAACACAGAAAGCCTGAATTTTAATTTAAGTGATATAGTAACACAAGGCATTAGTATAACACTGAACAAAAGGGTTAGAAACAGTAAATTAATTTCAACAGTGATGGTGTATATTATGTTAAGCTTACATATGCTGAGAATTAGAAGGCTGAAGCATTAGAAAGAAATGTCTTTGTTAAACAAGGCCATCCAATCCAATTCATTTGTTCATAGCTGATTAAATTTACTTAACATACTTAACTTAAAATCTCGAATGAACACAATAAAAGTATATGTCTATAAATTTTAATTTTAATGTTGTTCTGAATTCAAAACATACATTTCTGTTTAAAACTTAGACAATTTATATGTAAAGTTTAGACATTTTTATGTAAAGCTCAGACAAGGAAAAAACATGAAACCAGATGAACATTACATTCTAAATTATACCTTTTTAAGATAACTACCTACCTTCCTCCTAAAAGTTTTCTGTACATGTTTCTCTACAATTATTTGGATTATATAAAAAAAGACAGGACTCAGTCTGATGAGGATACATCACACTGACAGATAATGGCAAATTTAAATGAATGTATGCTATATTTTGGACAAATTCCATTCAATAGGAGAAAATAATTATGGCTGTCATAATTTTCTTCTTTTTAAATAAAGTAGGGTAAGTATCATGTTTGCATAATGAGGTGTTTCTCTACAAATATGGACTCACTGGATTTTCCCTTGTTTCAAAAGTACTGTGCTCTTATCATTTACCTCAGATTTTCTGAGGTCAAGTGCTTATACCATTAGAATTTCTATAATCTAAGCACGAATATCTAAATTCTGTCTGAGACTGACTAGATGAAAATATAAGTAAAAAAAAAAATTAGCAACTTTTAGGTAAGATTTAGAAAGTGACACTTTCCTACCATATACTTCTATCAATTAAGAAACACTTTCACCTCTAGGAAAAGAAACCACTCACATTACCTGCAAACAAGAAGCAAGAATGAAGAGAGTCAGCATTTCCTAAGGCCTTGAAATTAAGTTTCTTTTGCGTTCATTTATAATTTAAAAAACAATAATAAAATTAGGCCAAGGATATCCAATGCAACAAATGCCCACAAAATGCCTTTGGGATAAATCAAACCAAAGGAACACAGAGAATGTTTCAATGTAACTTAATTCCAGGGTTAATTGAAATGAAAGCTATTTTGTGCCAGAATTAGTAGAATGATTTTATAGTGAAGGTCACATAGGCTGAAGTGAAGATGTTCTTAACAAACAGCAAAGATTTTTGTTTTGCTTTGAAAGAAACAGCTAATAAAAAGTTCTCCAAACTTACTGATTTTTTGTTTTCCTTTTTTTCTCTTACTGTAGCTTTATTCAGTAGGGAGTGGCAAGTTGCCTACAGAACAGAGATGAGCACAAACAAGTCACAGCACCGACTACACACAGCAACAGAAACAATGTTGGCTTGTACGCAAATTACACGGTAAAATGTAACACAAATGGAATCAACAAAAAATTAGAAATCCACTGAATTTTGAGGGACGGGTTTTAATTCTGGGTTTTAATTTTTATCACATTTTTAAGCCAAGCACCAAAACAGTAAGAATGTCGAGACCCAATCATGTCTACTATTTCTGGCTACGAATCGCAGAAAAGCTCTCCCAAAGTAAATTTGAGGTTATTACATATTTACATTTTAGTTAATTCCTAGCTTTGGATAAATGTTATATAAAACATTCATTACAAGTAGATCACACACTAAAAGCATTTGTGTCTACATTTTTTTGTGATACGTAAAATATTTCTCTGTGTATCCTTCAATTGACTTAAAGTTCTTTTTTTCAATGTCTGGCATTTAATTAAGATCTTATTGACTAAAGAAATGAAAATTTGGCTAAATATGATAGAAAAATTCACTTTAGAGTTTCTGAATTAAAGATCTCTCTCTAAAAAAGATTACTCTTAAAAGTTCATGTTTTTCAATGTTTGCAGGCTACTTCTGGAAATTATTCTAATCAGAGGAGGTTAAAAGCTCTGCAACATTTGGGAGAAGAATGTTATCAGCTCAACTTGAAAAAAGCATTAATTAATAATATTAAAGTGAAGAAATTACAGAGAAAATTACAGAATAAAACTATAAGCCTGCTTAAAACTTTGTACATGTTACAGTTGACCATTTATCAGAATGTCTCAAAAAAAAAAAGTCACCTAAAAAAACTGAACAGAGACATACTGGTTTTATCTCGCGGAGCTCCTTCTAGACCAAAGAGTTCTTTCAAAATTAAAAGATTCCCAACTGAACTAAACTGGTAGAACAATTATTTTTAAAATATTTTAAAAACCAAATTAGAATTCTTTAATCCACGATACATGGTATTTCATTCCAGGAATTCTGGGCAACCAGCACCATAATTCATAACTTGGGCTTAAAGTAAGTTAGTTTAACATCCGTCTGTCCACCCGTCCATCTGTCCATCCATCCACCCACCCATGCAGTCATCCATCCATCCATCCATCCATCCAGTTACTGTGTACCTACATGCCAGATACCATTCTAGACACTGGAAAACAGCATTAAAACAAGAAGACAGCCGGGCATGGTGGCACGTGCCTCTAGTTCCAGCTACTTAGAAGGCGGAGGCAGAAAGATCGTCTGAGCCCAGCAGGTTGAAGCTGCAGTGGCCATGAGTGTACCACCGCACTCCAGCCTGGGACAGAGTAAAACTCTGTCTCAAAAAACAAAACAAAACAAAAAAACAAAAACAAGACATCGTCCCTTGTCTGATAGAGCTTTGGTTCAAACTTTAGACTATATATAAAAGCAATAACCACGTATTAACAAAAATATAGTTTTTTTGTTTCTTTTTCAATTATGATATACAACTACCATTTAAAGCCTTAAACTTTTGTATAAACTACTTCAACTTAAAGAAGCAGATTTATTGGGAAAAGATGAGATTTATTTAGAATCATAAGTTAGTTCTTTCTCAGAATTCTCTCACTATGATATGAGAATATCCACTCTGGGAATTATTTTCTCTTTATTCCAAAACTATCAAGATGAAAAGTGGAAACAATTCATGAGAAAATGACTTCATTATAAATCTGACATATAGTCACAGTTGACTATTCCTATATAACTTTAGTCCGGTCCACTAAGTAAGGAAGGTGTATAAAGTAATAGAATTGGTAAAGCTTGGGGAAGTTTATTAGCTAGCAATATACCCACTTAGCTTTCAAAATTTTCCCAACAGGTCCAAAGCAGGAACCATGTTTACTAGAGAGACACACACACACACACACACACACACACACACACACACACACACACATAATCGACTACTATTCTTTTCAACAGAAATTAAAAGTACAAAGGTACCGTTATGTTACTGCCAAAGTCAAAAAGGCAAGAAAAAGCCAGAAGAGGGAAGATGAATAAAAACAAAAAAGGAAAAACTAGGTTTGGAAAAACCCAATGAAAGAATATCTCCAGATCAGGTTTTTTTTCCTTTCTTTCTTTCTAATTAGTGAATATAAAATTTCCTGTCATCATTCATTCATTAAAACAAAAGAAAGCCTTATTTAATAGAAGAGCATATCCTTACTCCATAGCACTCTACTCTCCACCAATGTTAAGTTTACCTGGTACTTCAAAACAATGCACTGATACATTTCAATAATGTTTTTAAAGATAACAATTTTATGTGAAATTTTAATATGATAACTCAGGTCTGTTATTAAGATTATAAAGTGCTCTAAAAAGCACAACACATATGTGGAGATGGGTCTTGCTATTTTGCCTAGGCTGGTTTCAAGCTCTTGGGCTCAGGCCATCCTCCCACCTTAGGCTCCCAGAGTGCTTGGATTACGGGCATGAGCCACAGTGCCTGGCCTTAGACTATTTTTAACATGTGCTCACTATTTCTTGTCTGCCTAGTTTTATAAAGAGAAAAATTGCTGAGATTTAAAGAGAAACCTGAATAAGGTCCAAACTTAAGAGAAGATATTATTCATTGTATTAAGTTCTATAACTAAACAGCCCTCCAGACTTAGATTTAACTAGTTTAAACAAATTATGTAGGGCTTCCTAAGCTTCCTTGAGCTTTTTTTGAAAAGACAGAAAAGTCAGGATAAATCAAGACAGACTAAATGCTAAGTATGCTTTATCATTTATATATATTGTGAAAGGCTTTTTTTTTATAGAAAGAGCAGATACATCTTTAAAAATAGCAATGGGAAAAAAATTCACACAGAGCAGCCTCAAATAGCTTTTAAATGGTGACTTCACTGATGCTGTTAACGTCTCTAAGCAACTGAAGCCGTGGGCTAAAACACATACACACACACACACACACACACACACACACACACACACACACACACACACACACACAAATGGCTGCGGATGACTCTGAAAAAGAGAGATATAAAGGCATGGGTTCTGGCAAATGTGTGAGTTCTTTCCCTATACCCATCCCCACCCCAAATTCCAGACAACTAATGTTTCTTTCAGAATCATAGTTTACAAAAGCTAGTGTGGATTTGCAGGACCTCCCCCCAAATATATAAATCATTCCTAAAATTGCATGCTACTAAAAAATATAGCAGAAGCCATAAAAGAACACAGACCTAATTCCCTCAACAAGAAGGGCATGACTGTGGACATCTGAACTCAGGAGCATTACTTGTGGTGCTAGTGTTAGAAAATCTAATAATTTGATCTGAATGATGATGCAACATATATAAGACACATGCTACATAAAATAAACAGAACAATCAGTCTATCCCAGGAAAATCTGACATAAAACAATTATATATTAATGAAGAAACCAAAAGTACAGATGATCAAGCAATTCACAATGCAAAAAGTAAGAGTAAATTTGCCTGGTGTAAAAGACCCTATAAGTAATTTAAGCAAAAGATTTAAAAAGAAAAATTCATACTATATCTCATTTCAGTCCACATTTATCATATCCAATAGATTCAGTGCATTTCAAATGTGTTCCCAATATAAAGAAAATTTAAATTTTAAAGTACTCTCTTACTTCAGACTCTCTCCTAAGCAATATTTAAGTTTGTTTCAAAGCTAATTCCAATAACTTTTTTCTGTTTTTGAGTTGGAGTCTCACTCTGTCACCCAGACGGGAGCGGCCACTGCAGCCTCGACCTGCTGGGCTCCGGCGATCCTTCTGCCTCAGCCTTCCAAGTAGCTGGAATTACAGGCACACGCTACCACGCCCGGCTAATTTTTGATTTATTGTAGAGATGAGGTCTCGCCAAGTTGCCCAGGTGGGTCTCGAACCCGCGGGCTCAGGCAATTCATTCACCTCAGCCTCCCAAAGCGAACAATTCTTTTTTTTTTTTTTTTTTTTTGAGTTGGAGTCTCACTCTGTCGCCCAGAGTGGAGTGCAGTGGCTGCTCCCAGCTACCGCAGCCTCGACCTGATGGGCTCCGGCGATCCTTCCGCCTCAGCCTTCCCAGTAGCCAGAATTATAGGCATGCGCTACCACGCCCGGCTGATTTTTTGATTTATTGTAGAGATGAGGTCTCGCTGCCCAGGCGGGTCTCGAACCCGCGGGCTCAGGCAATCCACTTACCTCAGCCACCCAAAGGCGTGGGATTGCAGGCTGAGCCACCGAGCCCGGTTGTGAACAATTCTTAATGTTTCTTAATTATTCATCCACACCGATTCAATATTATAGTCAACCACCTAATATCAGCAGTTAAAGCCCTCTTTGATAAATAAGACATTCTTCTGAATTTAGCTTTGTATTACGAATGGTAATCTTAACTTTAAGCATACCTGGTATAAACAGTGGCACACACTTCGAAGCTGAGGGGGGAATTCTGAGGAGGAACTGATAATGGCCTGGAAGAACTTGTCAGTCATTTGAAGGAGGTTCCGCTGGTTTTCCTCAAGGCTCTCTGACGGCTCTAACCTATTTAAAAAAAAAAAGGAAAAGGAAAATTATATATCGCTTCTTGGACTTTTGGCTAAGATCAAGCGTGGGAAAAGTAAAATTATAACACTTCTGTTTAAAACATACATCACCCCTTAAAAGAGACTCTTTTACAGACATTCAGTTAAATGCAATGTTTGGATTTTGCTGGGATCTTGATTTAAACAACTATTTAAAAAACAACTTTGAGACAAATGAAAAAAATTTAATACAACATTAGTCTTAGATATTATTAGGGATTATGATTAATTTTATTGGTGTGGGGATACTTGGGGAATGTGTATAAAGTCTGTATCTGTTGGAAAAATGATCTCTGGGATCTGCTTCAAAATACCGGAGCAAAAAAGGGATAGATAAAACAAGAATAGCAGATATTCTTCCAAGTCACATTCCTCTGTATATGTAATGCCCACATGAAAAAAATGAATATACATGAATGCTATAAATGGTGTGAGTTTTTAAAATTTTCATCAATCGTAACAAAATGCAACTTTTACCTTTTACTCTACATTATGTTTCTGAGATTTACCCATGTGATACATGAAGATATAGTTCATTCACTTTACTGCATAATAATCCATTGTATTATATACCATGATTTATCGGTTCTCCTATTAATGGACATTTAAATTTTTTCACTTTTATAGATACCATTGCAATGAACATTCTTGCATATATGAGTTTCTCTAAGGCAGCTACCTGAAAATGAAATTTCTGACTCATTGAGCATATGCAAATTTAACTTTATTAGATATTGCCAAATAGCTCTACAACCAGTAGTGTATAAGAATTTTTATTCCCCTGCATTTTCACAAATTTAGTAGGCAGGAAAGGGCATCTCATGTTTTTAACATCTATTTCCACGTTCCTAGTAAGGTTAGACATACGTTTATATATTTTGTGGCCATTGAGGTTTCCTGTTTTGAACTGCATTTCGTATCCAGTCTGACATTCCTTCTAGATGTTCCCCCAGCACTGTCCCTAAAACTCAGCATGCCCCCAATTAATTGAATTTTCCTCTTCCTCTTATGTCTTAGCATGTGCCTCGTAATAAAGGCACCACTACTCTCTGAAGCACATCATTCAGGCTGTCTCTGATGTCACTTCTTCCTGCTCTGCTTTAGTACACCCTGAATCTAATCAGTATGCCATCTAAGGTGATGTTGTGATTAGAGGAAGAGATTCTGAAGGCAGACTTACTAGGTTTACATTTCAGCTCTATCAGTTATTGACCATTATGATCTTGGTCACAAAATTTAAATTCTCTGGGTCTCATTTTCTTCTCATCAATAAGACAGGAATAATAATGCCTAGGCCATAGGGTTTAAATTTCACCCAATGGTTATCAAACCCATAAAGCTTTACTCCCTAATTGGCCTAATCTGAACTCTCAAAATACATCCCTTATGAAACACGCTACTGGACTATGTCCTATTCTCCCCTGTTAAGCTGTAAGCTCCTTGAAGGAAGTATTCACTTTTGTCCCCTTAAACACTAGGCACAGCACCTTATCAAATCAAGTATTAAATAAATACTTGTCTTCAATATCTTAACTAGTAATTTTCTATTTCTATACTAATTTACATATTACATAAATGCTTTGGACATTAATATCATCACTCTAGCTTCCTTGCAGATCACTGTATGGTACATATGAATACAGGAAGAGTTCAGAAATTAGTATGAACTGCAAGACAGGAAAGATTTCATGAAACAGGTGAGTTCTAAAGGAGGCATAGAATTTGAATAGGCAGAATAAAGATATTTCAGAAACAGAAAGTAGGCAGGGCAGGTACTCAGTTCAATTTAATAAACATTTATTACACACCTACTATTTATCATCTTAGTGCCATGTGCTAAGGATTCAACAATAATTACCCTTTGACCTTTTCAAAGAGGGGAAAGATGCATACACCAGAAATTCCACACTAAGTAATGAATGAAATAATTCAATATTGTGATAAATATATATTTAGTCTCTGCCCCTGGTTCCTGGAAGTGATAAGAAGTATCTTTTGTATGATAATGAAATGGCTAGTGGTGGTTAGGGGCCCTAGAGATTCAGGATGGCAACTGTTCACCAGAAAGACTAAGGTATGATTCCAGGAGGGTTGAGACTTTCAGTCCTACTCCCCAGCCTCTGGGGGAGAAGAGGAAGGTTGAGGGTTGAGCTTACCACCAATGACCAATGATTTCATCACTCATGCCTATGGAATGAAACCTCCATAAAAGCCCAAAGGGACAAGGTTTGAAGAGCCTCCAGGCTACTGAAAACGTAGAGGCACCTGGAGGGAATGTGCCTAGAGAGGGCAAAGGAAATGCCAAGCCTTCTCCCCTAGGCCTTGCCCTATGCATCTTTTTCGTCTAGCTGATCACCTGTATCCTTTGTAATATCATTTACAGTAAGTAGGTAAACATAAGCAAAGTATCTCCCTGAGTTCTGCGGGTTGTTCTAGTAAATTAAACTAACCCAAGGTGGGGGTCATGGGAACACTAGTTTATACTTGGTTGGTCAGAATACAGGTTACAACCTGGGGCTTGCAACTGGCATCTGAAGTGGAAGCAAGTCTATGGGACTGAGCCCTTATTTAGCCTGTGGGATCTGAGGCTATCTCCAGATAGACAGCGTCAAAATGGAACTGAATCATAAGACACCTGGTTGGTATCCACTGGAGAATTACTTGGGACGTGTGGGGAAACAACACCCACACATTTGGAGACCGTTGAGTGTTGAGTGTGAGTAGAGAGAAAGGAAGTTTGTTTTTTCCTTTACCGATATAAAAGATAAAACAGCAAAGCAGAGACAGACATAAATTCAACATCGCTGGTGGTTGTTGGGAATAACTGAAAAGAAATTGGTATAAACATATATATAGGGAATGTATGCAGACAGAACAGTTAAGAAGCACAACTGTAGTAACTCAAATTTTAGATATGAAGTACCTAGAAGTTATGGAATATGAAAGAAAAGATGAACAACTTCTTGGCTGGGTACAGTGGCTCATGCCTGTAATCCCAGCATTTTGGAAGGCTGAGGCAAGCAGATGGTTTGAACCCAGGAGTTTGAGACCAGCAACATAGTGAAAACTCATCTCTACAAAAAAATAGCCAGTCGTCGTGGCGCAAACCTATAGTCCCAGCTACTCAGGATGCTGAGGTGGAAGGATCGCCTGAGCCCAGGAAGTTACAAGGCTGCCGTGAAGCATGACCTTTGGGATCATGCCACCGCACTCCAGCCTGAGCGACAGAATGAGAACCCAACCCAAAAAAAAAAATTAACAAGGCTCAAAGAGATTCCTAGAAACCTTGACAATTCTTTTGTCTACTTTGTGAAACTTTTTTTTTTTTTTGAGTCAGTATAGCAGTAGGGACACTGCAGTCGGTTTCAGGTTTCTCTCTAACTCTAACCCTTCCAGCCACAGCGCTCTTTCGCCTTCCACTTGCCAATGGCAACTTGTTGGTTATTCTGCTAATTCTGATTTAAAATAAAGCTTTGTGTTCAATCATTTAAGTACTCATGCATACAACATTTTCCCCTCAGTTTGATTTTCAAAGAACCAGCTTTGGGTTTCATTATATTTTTTTCTCTATTGTTTTCCTATTTTTAATTTTATTGATTTCTGCTCTATTTTTAAATTTCTTTCCTCTTGCTTGCTTTAGGTATTGCTCTTTTTTCTCTAGTTTTCTAAGGTGAGTGCTTAGATAATTGATTTTAGATATTTTACATTTTCTAATATATACATTTAATGCTAAAAGTCTCCCTCTAAGCAACTGCTTTCATTACATCCCACCAGTTTTGAGAAGATGTATTTTTAGTTTCATTTATTTTTTTCTTGCCTTTTTTTTTTTTTTGAGTTGGAGTCTCACTCTGTCACCCAGACTGGAGTGCAGTGGCTGCTCCTGGCCACTGCAGTCAACGACCTGCTGGGCTCCGGCGATCCTTCCACCTCAGCCTTCCAAGTAGCTGGAACTACAGGTGCGCGCTACCACACCCGGCAAATTTTTTTGATTTATTGTAGAGATGAGGGCTCGCCAAGTTGCCCAGGCAGGTCTCGAACCCGCAGGCTCAGGCAATCCTCTTACCTCAGCCTGCCAAAACACGGTATTATAGGTTGAGCCACCGAGCCCGGCTTTTTCTTGTATTTCAGTTGGGAAAGTTTTCTATTGATATATCTTCAAGTTCACTGATTCATTTCTCAGTTGTGTCCAGACTACTGATGAGCCCAAAGGCATTTGTTCATTCCATTACAGTGTTTTCATTTCTAGCATTTTCCTTGGAAGTTTCTTAGAGTTTCCATGCTTCTGATTACATTACCCATCTGTTCCTACATGTTGTTCACTTTTTCCATTAGAGCCCTTAACATATTAATCATAGTTATTTTAAACCCCAGCCTGATAGTTCCAAAATTTCTGCCACATTTGAATCTGGTTCTGATTCTTGCTTAGTCTCTCAGACTGATTGTTAACATGCCTTGTAATTTTTTTGTTGAACGTCAGCAAGACGTATTAGGTAATAGAAACTGAGGTAAATAGGACTTTAGTAGACAGCATTATGCTAATCTGACTAGAAGTTAGGTTATGTTTAATATCTGTTGTAGCTGTAGATGTCCATTTCCTCTACTATCCTGGTTTTTGTCTCCCTTGTTGTCTTTGAGTTTCCTTAGAAACTTCTTAGAGTCTCTATGTTGCAGTTTTCTCAACTGTAATCCACTGCTAATATACTAGAGCCCTGTTGATTGGGATAATGGGGAAGGAAAGTACCCTATAATCTGATTATATCTCCATTGTTTTACTGGGCCAAATTTCCTAAGCTGTGACCTTCAGAAGAGTTTGTTAGTCTTTTTTAATCCTCTTTATATGAGACAGAAAGGCTAATGGGGGCTGAAGGTAGCTAACCACCCATCCTCCAGGTCAGATAAGGCTATGGTCATAATTTCTCTTGAGGGCACGACTTTATTAGGGACAGCAGAACATTATGGAAATACTTTAAAATTCAGTTGTTACTTTTCCCTCTCCCTACCTAAACCATAAGGGGATTTTTCACCATGAGAGCCTGCAAGGCTTCTGTAAGTAAATCTCACAAAGGTGTGGGGGTCCTCTCAGACTGGGCTCCCAGGAGTTTTAACTCTCTAGCTACAGCACACTCAGCCTCCAGCAATTCATCAATTATGATCTCTGCTTTCCTACCAGTTACTATTTCCAGCAGCTTCTCCTGATAAGCTGTGACTCTATATTTACTGTCTCTCCAGTTTTGGGGTGGTGCCTTGCCCTGTGACCTCAATTCTCTGATGGATCTAAGAGTTGCTGATTTTCAGGTTTTTTAGCTTTTTTCTTAGAAACATGAGAATGTTGACTTTTAAGCTCTTTACATGTTAGAGCGAGTCTCAGTCTGATTTTAAGCAACTGAAATATACTGCTTGCCATCTAGTTCTTTTATCTGCATCACAACACTTAGTATAGTAGATTTCTTTTTTTTAATTTTAAAGATGTGGGTATAGTAGATTTCTTTTAGGCAGTTAGTTCATTCTCCTACTAAGTAATTGCTTAATAAACAGATTCAGTAAAGTTGCAGGATACAAAAATCAACACACACAAATCTACAGCATTTCTACATTGGTCAAAGGGTACAAAATTACAGTTAGGATGAGCAGTTCTGGAGATCAATTATCCAACATGGTGATTATACTGTAATGTACATATACTTGAAAACTGCCACACACAAAAAAGTAGATATGAGAAACTGTCAAAAAGAAAGTGAAAGTGTCTAATGCTAACAAAATACAAGAGGACTTTAAAATAATATTGCTTTCAAGTTTTAAACTATAGCTATTTAACTATTTTTAACAAAAATTGGCTAATCTAGTGCTAGAGTTTTGATTAAAAAATCAGTTGATGCTTCAGCAAAGGCAGAGCCAAAAATACCAACTGATGCATAGTTGTTAAATAATCATTATTTAGGAAGAACAATCATTAAGAAGCTGTGAATTTAAAAGTAAAAATAACCTTAAGGTCCTTATGGAAAGACAGGAGAATACTAACATGTATCTTAGAAGAAAAGCAAGCATAAGATGATTGGTTAAAATTCATTCAACAAATATTTATAAAATGTTAACTATATGCTAGATACCATGCTAAATACTCATGGAAGGATATAAAGATGTTTAAAATGTATAAGAGTCAATAGTTTAGAGGGGAGATAAAGTCATAAAATAAATCATCACAAGCTGGGCTCAGTGGCTCAGCCTGTAATCCCACGCTTTGGGAGACTGGGGTGAGTGGATTGCCTGAGCCCACAGGTTCAAGACCCGCCTGGGCAACTTGGTGAGACCTCATCTCTACAATAAATCAAAAAATTAGCCGGGCATAGTAATGCGCGCCTGTAGTTCCAGCTACTTGGAAGGTTGAGGCAGAAGGATAGCCGGAGCCCAGCAGGTCGAGGCTGCGGTGGCCGGGAGCATGCCACCGCACTCCAGTCTAGGCGACAGACTGAGATTCCAACTCAAAAAATAAATAAATAAATCATCACAATTAAGTGTTACAAAGGTGCTGTAAAGCAAGGAAAAAGATGATTTCTTTGTTCACATGTAGTGCACATATGGGTACTGCCTGGTGACAGGCAGAGAAAGCTTCACACAGATGGGGGTTTTTGTTGTTGTTTTTTGTTTGTTTTTTTGAATTGGAGTCTCACTCTGTCACTCAGACTGGAGTGCAGTGGCATGCTCCCGGCCATTGCAGCTTCGACCTGCTGGGCTCTGGCGATCCTTCCACCTCAGCCTTCCTAGTAGCTGGAACTACAGGCGTGCTAATTTTTGATTTATTGTAGAGATGAGGTCTCACCAAGTTGCCCAGGCGGGTCTCAAACCCACGTGCTCAGGCAATCCACTCACCTCGGCCTCCCAAAGCACTGGGATTACAGGCCGAGCCACCGAGCCCGGCAGATGGTGCTTTAAACTGTATCCTGCATTACCTGTTGGCCTCCTTACCTTCTCCTAAGTCACTCCACATTATAGCAGGAGGAATTAGAGAAAAAGAATCAAGCAAGTTCAGCTCAGTGCTATTCTCTCAAATCTAAATATGTCTGCCTGCAGAGAAGATAGATTCTGGCCAGCTTTCCATGTGTGGTAAAAAGATTGTGAGTGCTTGTAAGGGGTGAGCTTGTAGTCACCCAGCTGTGCAATAGATGAGGTAGACAAGGCTACTTCACGGTGAAGTACTAGCAAACCTATTTGCAAACAGCATCTAAAGCCACATTCTCCAATCATTTTTATTAGCGATTAGGGTCATACATGATTTGTGGGTGCCTCCCTTCATCTCCTACTCCTTCTTGGTTTTGAAGTTGGACAGGGAGAAGGGATATTTATTTGGCATCTCCTTCTAATGAATCCCATATGCCAAATCATTTAAAAAATTTGTAACGTGTATATTTCATTGGTACTTAAAGTATAGTGTACATTAAGTACCAATGTACTTAAGAGGTGAAGGCAGATTACAGCCAGAATACAAGGCAGGGGATTCAGCACTTTACCTTGCTGTCAATGGGCAACCATTGACGGTTTCTAAGAAGCAAAGTGACATAATATATATGTTTTAGAAAAGCAATTCCTATAGCCAAACGACCTGAAAACAAAAAGACAACACTGGGACAATAATTAGAAAGTTACTGCAGAAGTCAAGAGGTTATGGTATCAACTAAATAAATTATGATATAGCCAAACTATCAAGTGTTATTTAGCAGTTTAAAGGAATAGTAATCTTTGTACACACACGAAGATTGTATCTAATCTTTATAGACATAGAAAGATCTAAGACATATGGTTAAGTTAAGGAAAATTAAATGGAAAAACCATGTATATATTATGGTACCATTTATATTAAGCATTATATTACAATATACATTTTTTATAATTACATGCAATCATGTCATTTAACAATGGCAATACATTGAGAAATACGTCCTTAGATGATTTTGTTGTTACGTGAAAATCATAGAGTGTACTTACACAAAGCTAGATGGTAGGGCCCACTACACACCTAGGCTAGATGGTATAGCCTATTGCTCCTAGGTACAAACCTGTACAGCATGTTACCGTCTGAGTACTGTAGGCACTTGCAACACAATGGTAAGTATCTGTGTGTCTAAATATATCTAAACATAGAAATGGTACGATAAAAATACAGTGTTATAACCTTAAAGGACTTCCTTATATATATTCAGACAGTTGTTGACAGAAACATTTTTATACAGCACATTACTATATATGTGCATGCATATGCATGGAAAAAAAGAAGAACAAACTAAACCAGTAATGGTCTGGAGGTGGTAGTCAAATCCTTATTCAGTCTGTCTGGATCTAAGGCAAAAACAAAAAAAGATACCCTTATGATATCTGTAAAATGTTTTAAAGAAAAATGTCTCTGTGTATAATTTTTATAATTAAAAGCTAATTTTATGACCGGATACAGTAGTTCACACATATAATCCCAATACCTTGGGAGGCCAAGGTGGGAGGATTGCTTGAGCCCAGGAGTCCGAGACCAGCCTAGGCAACACAGCAAGACCTTGTCTCTACAAAAAATAGAAAAATTAGCCAGGTGATGTGCCTGTAGTCTCAGCTACTAGGGAGGCTGAGGGTGGAAGGATCACATGAGCCCAGGAGGTTGAAGCTGTGGTGAGCCGTGATCAAGCCACTGCCCTCCAGCCTGAGTGAGAGTGAGACCCTGACTCAAAAAAAAAAAGCTAATTTTAAGAATCATCACAAGACAGGGACCTATGGGAGGGGGAGAATTATGGGGAGAAATTATGAGGGCCTTCACTTCTGCAGTATTAGTGAACAAATGGAGAGCAGCTTCATGAGAAAAGATGACAAACCTGGTAGGATCCACTTCAAAGCTAACATGTTGCCAATCAGAGGATGTGATCACAATTCGTAATAAAGGATCCAGAAGTTTTTGTAGGTAGGTAGCACCATAAACCTAAAGAAATGCACAAGTAGAAATTTATTATGTCTTTCCATGTGTTTTGCATTAAGGAAAGACAATCAGTTCAGCATATTCTGTACATAATCATTACTTGACATACCTCAGGAAACACACACACACAATGAATGATACAAACCTTGAAACAGAACGTCATTATTTTACTGGCTAAACTGTTGCCTCGGAAGAGAGTCTGCATGGAGTCTGCCAATTCTACTTCTTTAGAAAACATGTTCCAGAGCAGTTGGTAAAGTAAGTGCCGAGAATCAAACAGGGTAACCAGAACTCGAGCTAATTCATCCTGAGAACAACAACAACAAAAAATCAGATTATTGCAAACAATCCCATTTTTTTTTCTTAAGCAGGAAGCTGAAGAGTAGCAAAAAACTAAATCAAAAGTTCACAACCACTTGCTAAATTAAGGTGAATGGCGACTGATTAATATTTCCCCTGAGATTTAACTGTGTGCATGTTCTACAATGGATGACTGTTTATATATAATATCTACAATCACTGCTAATTCTAAAGGATTGAATAACTGGGGAAAGTAAGAGAGCCCTGGGTTTTACCAGGAGAAAAAAATCTCCAGGATTCAGCTCAAATTATAACACAAAATCAGAGACCAGAAATAGAAAATGACAGCAAAGAGTTTAGTTTGATCTGCACAAGCTTTGTTCAGATCATTTCCTTTGAAAATCACTGAGCAGAAATAAGACTGGGGACCAGAAGAGCTCTACTCTCTTCTCCATCAGGAGAACTCAGAGAATGGTAAGCACAGACTAGGCAGAGACATAACAAAATGGAAGGACTTAAGATGTTCAAGAAGTCAGGAAGAAAAGGAACCGAGCATTCAAAACTCAGAAATCAACCTGGTTTATATACAAACCTAGGGGCTTGGGGATGGGAGCTAACATTCCCACCTATTACATAAATGACAACTCTAACAATTCCCTAGAGTAAAGAAGTTTGGGGTACACTCAAGAAAAATGATTTAACAATAGTAAAACACTGCTTAATTACATGCTGAGAAGAAATCTAGCAACAACAGAGTAGATGTAAAAAGATGCCCTGGTCCTCAAGCAGTAACTACAAAGGCCAGGATCACGGCCCATGGATCTCCAACTCCTGCTTGATCCCAAGATTACAATAATCTAATATTTGAGTAAAGAAAAAAGCTTAAAAAATTCTAACCCCAAATAATGTAGAAGCCAAAGAATTACAAAGACTCAATATTGTGCTCTACTCTCAAATATATATACATACATATTTGATTAGATATAAAAACTCTATCTTTCATTATGAAGTCAAGTAAAATTATTAGAGGATTTAGTTAGACAATAGAAACGATTTTCAGATTACTGTGTTGTGTTTTTTCCCACTCCAATCCTTCCTACTACAAATTCTGAAAACTTTAGTAACAATTTAAAGATGTATTTACAAAATAGAATAAAAGTTTTTATCTTATGCTTTGCTATATTTTAGATACAGTTCTATTTCTTTACTTTTGAGACAGGGTATCACTCTATCCTGGCTCCCTGAAACCTCAACCTCCTAGACTCAAGGGATCCTCCAGTCTCAGACTCCTAAGAAGTGGGGCTACAGGCATGTACCACCACACCCAGCTAATTTTTTTTTGGTAGAGATGAGGTCTCGTTATATTGCCTAGGCTGGTCTTGAACTCCTGGCTCAAGAGATTCTCCCTCTTTCCCCTCCCAAAGTGCTGGGATTACAGGTGTGAGCCATCATGCCCAGCATCCGGCCCAACATAAAATTCCTTCTCAAAATAAAGTCACTTAATATAAAACTAAATGAATTAAAACTTGTTTGACTTAACTGATTCTTTTTCTATTAAGAAAATTACTGGTCAGGCACGGTGGCTCAAGCCTGTAATCCCAGCACTTTGGGAAGCCAAGGCGAGAGGACTGCCTGAGCCCAGGGGCGAGAGAAAAAAAAAGTAAATTAAAAAAATTAGCCGGGCATGGTGGCACACATCTGTAGTCCCAGCTACTCAGGTGGCTGAGGTGGAAGGATCACATGAGCCCAGGAGGTCAGGCTGTGTTGAGTTGTGATCCTGATTATACCACCGCACTCCAGTCTGGGCAACAGAATGGGACCCCAACTCAAAAAACCAAAAAACCCTGTTAAGAGGGTAGATCTCATGCTAAATATTCTTACCAAAATAAATTACCAGAAGGGAAGCATTTCAGACGGTGGCGGCAGCAGCAGCAGCAGCAAGGGAACTCTTAAGACAAACAAACCTGGCACGTATGAGGAACAAAAAGGCAGCCAGTATGACTCAACTTTGGTGCCCAAGAAGTGAAATGGTATAGAATGTTAGAGATATGGCAGAGCCCTGATTGGGTAAAGCCTTGTAGGCCAGGATAAGCAGTTTGAATTTTATTTTAAGTACAGGCACAGTGCCAGGTGCAGTGGCTCACGCCTACAATCCCTGTGCTTTGGGAGGGCCGAGGTGAGAAGATTGCCTGAGCCCATGGGTTCAAGACCAACCTGGTCAACCTGGCAAGACTTCATCTCTACAACAAATTAAAAAACTAGTCGGGCATGGTGGCACACGCCTGTAGTTCCAGCAACTTGGAAGGTTGAGGCGGAAGGATTGCCTAAGCACAGTAGGTCAAGGCTGCAGTGGCCATGAGTGCGTCACTGCAGTCCAGCCTGGGTGACAGAGTGAGACTCCAATTAAAAAAAAAAAAGAAAAAAGAAATACGGTTCTATAGCTTTTAAGCAGAAACAAATCTACAGACAATGACAGATGACCTTGTTAGTTATAACTCACTATAACTAAAATAATTTTTAGTATACTATAAGCCAACTGGCTTTTTGACATTGAAAAGTGACAACAACCCTTCTCAAAGTCTTAGCATATAGTATAAAGAATGATGTGATTTTAGGAACATTTTTCATTAAATTAAGAACAAAGTCAAATAGCCATATTACAACTTCAGTGTTTAAAACAAGCAATATCACATTTTTAATGCAAATGGAATAGTGTGTCTAAATAAAACATAAGACATTCTAGGCCAGGCACAGTGGCCCACACCTATAATCCTAGCTCTTTGGGAGGCTGAGGTGAGAGGATTGCCTGAGCCCATGGGCTCAAGATCAGCCTGGGCAAGTTGGTGAGACCTCATCTCTACAATAAATCAAAAAATTAGCTGGGCATGGTGGCACGTGTCTGTAGTTCCAGCTACTTGGACAGCTGATGTAGAAGGATAGCCTGAGCCCAGCAAGTTGAGGCTGCAGCGCCCATGAGTGTGCCACTGCACTCCAGCCTGGGCAACAGAGTGAGACTCCATTAAAAAAAAAAAAAAAAAAAAAAGACATTATATAAAGAAGAATAGCAAACTGGAAGTAGTAAACAGCACAAATCATGGATTCCAATTCTAGTGTTACAACAACTAACTAAAATCAGGTTTAATCTAATCTCCTTATCTAATATATGAAGACACTGAACCAGATCAGTGGTTTTTAGTTTTCTTTTAATCAGTGTTTGAAGGTTATTTTTCAGTGGGGTAAAATGACACAGAATACTAATCAGGGCTAGGAGTGCCAACCACTTCTCCACAGCTAAAAATCACTTAACTAAATATTTGAAGTTTCTTTCAGCTCTAAAATTTTATCAATCTATTCAGTATATTTGGAAGCATGTGCTCCATGTCAGGCTCTCTTGCCCACTTATTCAATATACTTACCCACTGAGAACAAGGAACTACATTGGCCAGAGCCATCGCTATAGGGAGCTCTCCCTGATCACCCATCATGGTGACCAATTCCACCAGTCTCTCAAACCGATCTGCCAACACCGTTTCTGCAAGTGTGTCAAATTCTGTGCCTTGTTGAAGGATTTTTGTCAGAACTTCCATAAATGTAGCTCTTGTCTGGAGATCCTTGTGGTAACCTAAACCTGATATGAACAAATAGATGCAGATTTACTAAAATGGCCTTGCCCAAGTAATTTTTACTTGTCTTATATGCCAATTCTCTAGGTTTTATATTTCTATATCTCACCTATGGAGTGCATGAGGCCACTGTCCACATTGGCATTGAGTAAGTTTGACATTGCAAGGACTGTACAGTGTCTCAGTGATGCCAGCCTCCGAGACATGCCACGTTTCCTGCCACCTGTCTGTGCATTTTCATCTTCAACTTCACTACAGTCATTCAAAAGGTTCATAAATAATGTGAAGTATCTGAGAAATAAAAAAACTGATCTTTACATAGTGAAGGCGACATCAACTAACCAGACATTTCAAAATAATCACATGTGTCGTATGAGTGGCTCTGGGTTATCTGCTTCTCTCCTCTTTGGGATAATCAGTCAGGGAGGCCCATTATGAAGTAGGTGGTGCTGGATCAGATTTTATTCTGACAAAGCCCAGTACACATTTCATAACATAAAAAACAAATAGATGCAATGATTCCTAGCAAATGTGTCACTTTTAATGTTTAGCATATAAAATTAGTGGTTCAAAAAGTTTGAATAATGTCATTTTAAATGACTTAACGAAGCAATCCAGGCTTTTTTACAAGTAAAAACTTACTGATCACATTATTTTCTTTAAAAACTACAAAACAGCTGTTTTCTAGTCCTAGTTCTACCATGGGAACTGTTTCTTCACAAGTGTGGTATATTTTATGAGACAGCAGCCAAAGGCCATAATACCAAAGCAATTAAGTTCATTTTCTAAATACAATCATTTGGCACTTTGGTTACACTTGCTTTGTTTTATTACTTGTGGGGCTTTTTTTTGTTTTCCACTTTGTGTTTTTGATGACTGAAATTTACTTAAGAAACAGCTGTGACTTGGCTTCCATCAATTCCACACCATCCCCTTCCTCAGGCTGCAGCGGGAGACCTGCTAGGAGTGAAACTACTGCTTCCATGCTTGCCTGGTCCAAATCTCTGAAGAAGAAAAAAATTTACAGACAATAAATCTTCCAGGTTGCTTCATTCCACCTTCCCCTCAAATAAACCTCTTACTAACAGAAACAGATTTTAGGAACTACCTATTTAATTAAACAAATTATTAGCACAATTTTAATACAAGTTAACATGCAGATCCCAGAATGCAAAAGCATTTCAAATTGGGGAGAAGATGATAATAACAATCTACAAAGTAATCTTGGCAAAATGACTCCTTTAAGTCAAAAGTATGTACAGTTGGCCCTCCATATCAGTGAGTTCTATATCCATGGTTCAACCAACCACAGATTGAAAATATTTGGGGAAAGAAAATAGACAGATGCAGCTGTACTGAATTTGTTCAGATTTTTTTCCTTGTCATTATTCCCTAAACTATATGGTACAACAACTATTTACACAGCATTTACATTGTATTAGGTTTTATAGATAATCTAAACATAATTAAAAGCATATGGAGGTTATGCATATGTAAGGGCGGCCCTGGAACCAACCCCCCACAAATACCAAGAGACTATACTATCAAAACAGCCTGCCCAAAGAAAGATAAATGGTTATAGTCACAGTATTTAATCACTTTCCGATATGTGTCAGTAAGTATTTATCATTATAGCAAACTTACACAATTCCTTTTCTGTCTCAAGTACTTGAATCAGGAAAGCAGTTACTTCTTAGACTCAACACAATTAAGTTCCTTAAATAACATCTTTATTTATCTAATCATAAATAAATACAATTCAAGGCTTTATATCTTTCCCTATTTAACTGCAGACTATTCTTCCAAAATTAACTACACTAACTTCCCAAACATAACATTTTCTCACATTTGTTTTTTGTTTTGTTTTGAGTTAGAGTCTCACTCCGTCACCCAGGCTGGAGTACAGTGGTATGCTCATGGCCACCGCAATCTTGACCTGGTGGGCTTAGGCGATCCTTCTGCCTCAGCCTTCCAAGTAGCTGGAACCACAAGCCTGTGCCACTAGGCTAGGCTAATTTTTTTTTATCTGTTGTAGAGATGAAGCCTTGCCAATTTGTCCAGGCTGGTCTCAAAACCCTCGACTCGGGCAAACCTCTCGTCTCTGACTCCCAAAGTGCTGGGATTACAGGCATAAACTACTGCGCCTGGTTCACATTTGTTTTTAACTGAAAGTCTGTTTAAGAAATTACAAAGATTTATATCTTTATGTATTTCAAATGCAAAAGCTTAGCATTTAAAAAAACATAAAACACATAAAATATGTATACAATAGCTATACTGTAGCTGTAATGCTTAGAGTAAAAACTGCTAATACTTAAAGATCGATCTCTTTTTTTCTTTTTTACCTTGTAAGACATTTTACATCATCATCTGCTGCTTGGTTTGATGTTCCCATAACCCAGTCTGTCAGGTATTCTACCATCTTATTTCTACAGAATGATGGAGAAAAGAGAAATAACAAACAATTTTCTTAAAGCCACACACACACACACCTTTAGTCACACAAGATTTTTTTTAATGGTACAAATAATTTGCCAAATAATGGTGACACAACAACTTTATAAGAGAGATTCTGCTCAGATGTAAAAATCAGAGGGGCACAAACACGAGCAATTTGGATGCTGATCCTCCACAATGGCCCCAAATTATAATATCGGTTTTAAACCAGAATCAAACTATTAACTCAGCATAGCACAATTTTAGAAATTGGCACCAAGTTTTAAAATCTGAGAAGACATGCAGAGAAAAACAAACATGTAAAGTGTTCCCTTTCCACTTCCTCTTTTCCCCCCATAACCAGATTCTTACATTTTTCTGTTCTCCATTTAACAAATTAAGATTTACAAGACCCTACTTTCCTCTTCTGAGAACTCACCTGAATTTCATCTCTTGACAAAATGAGAGGTCATCTCTCCTTGCCATCATTACTTCAACTAACTGACACAATTTCGTTTTTATTTGAATTGCATGAACCATGTTCCCAAGTACACGAACATATCTATTAAGGTATAGAAATATTTTTTTAAATTACCAGATATAGACAAAAGAAAAGGCATTCATAGTTGCTAAGTAAAATTAACTAACTATAACTTCAGAAATAATAAGATTTTTATTTTATAGGAATATATACAACTTCTGGTTACCTTACTGTCACACTCTGTTTTGTGCACAGTAAAGAAATGAATGGCAAATTATTTCATCAATTACTACCAATATCAATGTGTAAGCAATATTTTGGTATCTCTTAGAATAAGTTTTTGCTACTTTTCAGTAGAACGCTTACCTGACCAGATTTAACATCATTGTTTCAATGCTAGCTTGCCCCAGATGTTCAGAGCTGCCTTCAGTAGGATTATCTAGTAAGTTCTTCATTATAGCTATGGTTTGCTCTACAAATTGAGTATTGGTATCAGTCAACAAGACCTACACAAAGAACAAAATACAACAGTGATCTGCCATCAGTGCACAGACTATGGAGAGATGAAACTGACTGATCTAAATATACACGCACAGAAATGCATCCACAGACATAGCAAAACAAGCCCATAGAGACACACAGACATTCATATTCATACACAAGGCATTCATACCCCCAGCACACTCACACACAAGAGTTTCTAAGAAGCAATCTAATCCCTACATTAGATAACTCTTCTTTCTGCAATTTCTTGGCTATTTAAAAAAAACTGTTAGTAAATATTCATGCCAGTATGTAATTTAAATAATGTGAAAGAAAAAGTCTTCACTATTTCAAACAAGTCACTATAATTACAGGGAAGAGTGAAAAAAAAAGACAACATCACTTTACCTGTCCCTGGGAGTCAAAAAATTTGCTGATGGTATTCTTCAATTTGTTAAAGAGCATTGGATAAAGAGCAGGACTCAATTCTAGACCCACCAGATCTTTAACATTAGTCCGTATTTGAAGTCCTACTTTCTCATGGTTGCACACCATTAAAGATAACAGTCGATCCATAAATTTGCTGACAGGCGTATCTGCATTTCCCTCGGAGGACATCACAGAAATCATGGAACCCTTACGCTCACTGACTGGACCCATGGGTGGGCTATAGGTTGCCAAGCCAGAATTGCTTCTCTGCTGCAGGCACACTCCCCCAAGGGCACAAAGGAAGCCAGTCATGTTGATCCATTCCTGCAGGGAGTCTGTGTCAGATAGATCTATGGATCCTCCTCCACTCACATGGGACATTCGCCTCTTAACAATAGTCTTGTGAAGGCTTTCAGCAGCCTAAACACAAAATTTTTATGCAAAGCATGAATTCAACCTTAATTAGTTTATCTTGACAAATTACTCTTTATTCAACATTTCTTCCATGACAAAAGTACATTTTTTACATCTTAAAAATCAAAATATGAAATTACCATATACATTTTTAAGGAGCTACTGATATATTTTTGTCATAGCTAGAATAATATAATCAACCCAGAGCATCAAATTTCTTTTTAAAAGCTTTGATTCACATGGATGAGCCTTGAAAACATTATGCTAAGTGAAAGAAACCAGTCACAAAAGCCTAAATACTCTATAATTCCATTTATAGAAAATGTCCAGAAGAGGCAAATCTACAGACAGAAAGTAGATTAGTGGTTGCCTAGGGCTGAGGGGTAGAAGGCAGAGAGGTGGGAAAATGGGGTGTTAGGGACAGAGATAGGTAAAGAGTATGGGTTTGTTTGTTTTTTAGGTAATGACAACGTTCTAACATTGACTGTGGTGATGGTTGTACAACTCTGAGTATACTAAAAATAGTCACTGAATTGGACACTTTCAGTGGGTGAATTATATGTCAATATATGTATATGTGAGTTGTATATCAATTAAGCAAACAACCAAAAAGCTTTTCACTCCCACCAAAGCTTTCATTCTAAGCTACATGTCCTCTCCAAACATGAGATTAGGTACACAATTTTGCTTCACAGATTAGGCATACAATTCACCATTGAAAGTGTCCAATTCAGTGACTGTTTTTAGTATACTCACCGAGTTGTCCAATCATTACCACAATCAATTTTAGAACATTGTCGTTACCTTAATATACATATATACACATACACACATATATAATGTCTTTCTTGTTCTAATTAAGTATGAAAGAAAAAAAGCAAGGGAGGAATAACCAGTTTTTCTAAAATACCTAATAATGAAAGCAATATGGGTATTACAAATCAAATACACAAATAACTGATGGTTAATTTCTAAATTAATCGTTAATACAGTTGATACTAACAGTTGGTGGGTGAAATGATATAGCTGACAGTAGTTGATGAAGGAAATGTCCAAATTTTAAAATTTCATTTAATCCATGGGTTCAATATGCTGCCCACCAGAGTCCTTAATTAGAATACCTAACAAACTGGGCTCAGTGACTCAGCCTGTCATCCCGCGCTTTGGGAGGCTGAGGTGAGTAGATTGCCTGAGCCCGCAGGTTCGAGACCTGCCTGGGCAACTTAGCAAGACCTCATCTCTACAACAAATCAAAAAATCAGCCAGGCGTGGTAGCACATGCCTGTAATTCCGGCTACTCGGAAGGCTGAGGTGGAAGGATCGCCAGAGCCCAGCAGGTTGAGGCTGCAGTGGCCGTGAGCAGCCACTGCACTCCAGTCTGGGTGACGGAGTGAGACTCCAATTCAAAAAAAAAAAAAGAATACCTAACAAAATAGCAAAATGAACTGTTTCCATTTCAATTTATTTTTCTTGTCTGTTACTCCTTTTCTGAAAATTCTGTGAAATACCCTGTTGAAAGAAGAAAGAGCAAGAAAGAGGATAAAGGAATGGTTTCTACCATGAATGCTCTCTAGCAAAGGTGCCTGAAATTTCTGCCATGACATATTGGACAACACTGTATCTCTGCTGTCCAATATGTGTGACTAATGGGTGGCTAACGGGTACTGGAAACGTAGCTACTATATAACTGAGAAACTAAATTGTAATTGAATTTAATTAAGTTAAAATCTAATTTAAATAGGCACATGTAGCTAGTGACTACCATATTAGACCGTGCTGGTCTAGCTGAACCATGACTAAATATAAGTCTTAAGACAACTATATACTTATTATTCTAAGAATGACTCACACAGATTAAGTATGTTAAGTAGATCAATTAATAGACAAATATCAACTTCACAAACATACCTGGCCATCTTCCATTTTGGCTTTTGGATAGTTAAGGATTAGTTTTGTAGCTTGCTCCCATTTTGCATGTGTATCTTCCCAAGCCTAAAATGAAGGCAATTATCACTTAAAAACAACTTTAAGTCTAGAGCTAAAACTTCATCAGTACCAGTCAAGTTTCAAACTCAGATTTGCTTTAAAAGGTATTGCTGATCATACACCTGTAATAAGGGGCTTCTAAAACTGGGGGTGGGATCTGGGGGGCGGGGTGATGGAAGCTTCTGTTGCTACGTGCATACCTCAGTGTTTCCCGCAGTGGGATGCTCGATGCGCCTCAGCAGTGCCATCACTCTTTTCTGAAGTGCTGCTCTTCCTAAACAAAAACAACAGCAAATCGAGTTACTATGCTTGGAGTCCTGCTTGCCCATGGAGCCCCACTCAAAAGGCAGAGTATGCAGAGTAGAACAAATGCTTCAAATGACAGAGCCAAAAACTTCCTTTTACCAGCCTCACAGGAAAGGTGTTTCTCTTTGACTCCACAATGTCCACAGCATAAAATAGCTATTCTTATTTATAATCTACTCAAAACATGCCAATGTGCTTAAAGTGTCATCATACACAACTCAAGCAGAGGAAATTACATAATCTAAAACTGATAGTAACCTAAACTGCCCGTTATTTTTAAAATGTATATTAAAAACTCAGTGAGAGACTAACAATTTATTTCAAATGTTATTTATTTCCACCCTACCTTGTTCAGAGAAGGATTTCAAATAAGCTACTTGAATTTGCCCCATAAACGTACAACGGAGTAACATGAAATACAGTCTTATGTTCCTAACACAATCAGATATCAGGTGATTTGAGGCAGAGTGAGTTTAGAAAAAAAAAAATCATTATCCACATTTACCTGTTGACATCATATTACTGACAGAGGCAAACTCCATGAACGTGTTATAGTTGGGCAGGAAGTTGTGCACCGACACTTCATCCACCCCACACCGGATATCTGCTTCCTCACAGAGGTGGCGGAAACAGGACATGGCAACCAAAACAGCTTCTGTGTCAGGGCTCCACAGAAACATGTACAGGGCCACTTCCAGCTTGGTCTGGGCTTGTCGGCATATTGGCGGGGCTCCACCGCATCCTGCTGCACTGTCCTGGGAGTCAGGGGTGGGAGGCATATATTTGAAATTTAGGTCATTTTATTTATAAAACCCAACAATGTAATAAACTGTGTGCCACATATATCAGTATGTAATAACTCACAAGCGCTTCCCCCTTTAATCGTGATAGGGATTTTTCAAACCCCAAAATATTTTGTCTAAATGAGAAATCAGATTATTTGGACCCATATAATGCTACTATCTGTCCAAATTCAAATCAAATAAGTATTATCCTACCCCAGATTCCAGAAATGTAAATTAAGTCTAACATGGACAAATAAAATGCTACAACATAAATCTACTGCAGAAAAAACATGTACTTCTCAGTCAACTGTAAATGACAAAGGAAGAGGAAGTAACAGGAAACTCTATCCACTTACTATAGGGAAGAAATAAAATAAGTACACTACAGCATTGACTGAGATAAGGACAGAAATAAGAACTAAATACTGCTGTACAGGTAGACTGGATTCTAAAATTACATATTCCCCAAAGATGAATGGAGAAACCAATTTACAAAACAAATGCATATTCTGCAGATAAAGCAGACAAATATCGCATTGCTTAGTTGTTTTTCTTCCCCCCTCAACAGCAGGTAATACTAAAAATTAGAGATAAAAAGGGACAGGGTCTCACTCTGTTGCCCAGGTTGGAGTGCAGTCATGTGATCACAGCTTACTGCAGTCTCAAATTCCTGGGCTCAAGTGATCCTTCCAAGCAGCGAGGACTAGAGGCATGCACCACTATGCCCAGCTAATTTTTTTTTTTTTTGAGTCTGAGTCTCACTCTGTCACCCACGCTGGAGTGCAATGGCATACTCACAGCCACTGCAGCCAAGACCTGCTGGGCTCAGGTAATCCTTCCACCTCATTTTCCAAGTAACTGGAAATACAAGTGTGTGCCACCACACATGGCTAATTTTTTGCTTTACTGTAGATACGAGGTCTCATCAGGTTTCCCAGGCTGGTCTCGAACCCCTGGACTCAGGCAATCCTCTCGTCTCAGCCTCCCAAAGTGCTAGGATCACAGGCTTGAGCCACTGTGCCCGACTCAACTAATTTTTTTTTTTAATTTTTATAAAGACAAGGTCTTGCTATGTTGCCCAGACTGATCTTGAACTCCTGACGTCAAGCAATCCTCCTGCCTCAGTTTCCCAAAGAGCTGGAATTACAGTTGTGAGCCACTGTGTTCAGTAAATCTGTACCTTTATTAGTTAGTAAATTTGTACCCTTTGTTTTTATCCCAGTAAATTTTACCTTTGTTAGTTGGTAGAACTTCTAAACTTCTGGGGTATGAATGACCTTTCTTTTTTTTTTCTAAATTTTTATTTTAAAGATGCAGGGTACAATTCAGGATTACGTAATACAAGTGGTCATCGTACTACAGGTAAAGTATGGGCCTCCCTCTGGTCCCTACTTTGCCTGATTTGAGATCAGGTACCCTTATTTGATGTTATGTACCTAGCAGTTTCTGGCTACTGCCAACCCCTTGAATTGTCTTTCTTATGGGATGGAGATTTATGATATAGTTACCAGTTAAAGCCTGTAAGCATCAAGTGCTATTTACACATAATTTCCTTTAATTCTCACAATAAATCTAGGGTACAAATATTATTCCCATTTTAAAGTTAAGAAACCAAGGCACAAGGATATCAAGAACTTGCCCAAGGTCCCACAAAGAGCAGTGACAGAACTAGACTCTAAGCATTTTTTATCTGTTACACTGTATTATCTAGTTGAAATTTATCAAGGTTCATTCAGAAAAAAATAGAGCAGAGATGATGATACAGGAAAATTACAAAAGCAGCAGCTTACCATGGAGGAGTTTCCTTTTCCCTTCCGGAGGGAAGTTCCAGGAGTACAGGTACGTACTAATTCTTCATGATCCATGGACATTTGACTGGTATTTGCACTGGAAGAAACATCACACCCTAACCCGAAGAGGAAATGACAGGAACTTCTATCTGCCTGCTAGAAAAAGGAAATAAATAAGCTCTACCAAAGCACTGACAGTCAAGAACAAAAAACACTTAATGTGAGTTGTCTTCCTATGGAGACTATATCTTGGAAAACCCCTCCTCTCTCACTCCCTAAGCAATACCTAGAGGAACATTAATTAGAATCACATTAGGATGGACAGTGTGTTTATTCACTATCTTTTAAACTCATCTAAATTTTCCTCTCTCCAAATCATCAGAAACAACAGATTCTACAAATGTAAATTAATCCTAATATGGATACAAGCAAAACATCAACAACATAAATCTACTGTATGTAAATTACATTTGAAATCTCAATGGCAAAGATTTTCTCCCATAAGTTCTTATCCTGTGCCACGTCGGGAAAAATGGAAATTGACTTTTTAAAGATTAAGTTCTTCTGAACCAGTAACTAACACTGGTATATACACATATACGCCAAATATGTCAAAAGTGCAACTCTGTTGATCAGATAACAATTCATTACTGGATTACTGATGCTTGCACTCTGGAGATTATACTGTAGGCAAAGACATCAAAGTCCATAGTCTAATCTCTTCCCTTAGCTCTGGAATAACGCCAAATATCATTATATTGACATACCAAAATAAGCCAGACATAAATAAATCCACCTTATCATTAGTCTACTTCTAAAAAGAGACACTTTAATAAGCTATATGGTACTGAAAAGCATATGAGTTTCATATATTTAAGATTTCTCACAGCTATAATTCTAGGGCTAGAAAAAAACTCATTAAATCAAGTACTCCTAAAACTATCATAACAGAGGAATTCTTAAATTGATTAATTATAGAGACCATATGTTAAAAGAAATTTAAGGCTCTTTTCTAACCCCCACAGCTTCACCATGTTTCAATAGTTCAGAATCCAAAAATTTGACTCCATCCCATGGAAGAAATCTTCTGATATTTTCAAGAGATGAAATTTTTTTTTTTTTTTTTTTTGAGTTGGAGTCTCACTCCGTCACCCCGACTGGAGTGCAGTGGCATGCTCCCAGCCACCGCAGCCTCTACCTGCTGGACTCCGCCTCAGTCTTCCAAGTAGCCAGAACTACAGGCACGTACTATCACGTCTGGCTAATTTTTGATTTATTGTGGACATGAGGTCTTGCCAAGTTGCCCAGGCGGGTCTCGAACCCATGGGCTCAGGCAATCCATTCACCTCGGCCTCCCAAAGCACTAGGATTTGGGAGGCTGAGCCACCAAGCCCGGCCAAGAGGTGAAATCTTAATGGAAGGAATATAAATAAACCTAGATTGAGGACCCTCAACCTCTTCCCTTTAGCTTTTTGATAGATAACACTCTCTGGACCACCCTAGCCATGAGATCCAAGTCATAGATGAATTTGAGAGTAGAGATAGAATACATTCTTTAGTCTACTTTGGTTACAGCAGCCCCCATGGCCTATCCCATAGAGACCTGCTTAACTCACCTAGAATTGATCAACATTGTGGTTTTAAGGCCAAAGCCCCAGAATAATTTTTAACATGCTGATTTGTCAGCCACTCTCCTCTGCACACGTTTCCCTTTAAGAACCTTGGGAGAAGGAAGAAGCTGAAGTAGAGCGTAACTCGGCTAATAGACACTTCCTTAATCTCTCCCCATCACCATTCCAAATATTCTTCCATTTGTAAAGATGTCATTTTGCTTACCTTATTTTTAAGAAGAAATTTATTCCTGCAGATCAAAATTTCTCGTAACCACTTGAGAATTTCTGTGCTACTAAGCATTTGATGGGTAGTTAATTTCTTGCAGATGTAAAAAAGCATTTGTGAGCTGTAGTAACATAAAGTTCATTGTTACCAATATCATCAATAAATAACGTAACACAGATAACATCAGTAAATAAGAAAGGAATTATCTCACAGTGGATTTATTCAAGTTTAGAGAAGCTGAGTTTCCATTGTAGGGTTTGTTTTAGAGAAACAGTTATCAAAGTGTTAATAGTACCATAATCAAAGGAAGTAAGTCTACAAGTTACAGGAAAAAAAGCAAGTACTTATAAGTCCCTTGTGTTTCATCAAACTTCCAGAGTTTCATCCATAGATCCCATCCTTGCAGTGGACATAAGAAGAAATGATAAACCACGTGCACAGCAGAGACTGTTTATAAACTGAGTGCTCTAGAGCAGAGATCTGCAAATTACCACCTGCAGGCCAAATCCAGCCCACCGTTTGCTATTTCAAATAAAGTTTTAGTGGACCACAGTCACACCCATTTATTCATATATTGTCTAGGGTTGTTTTCATGCTTCTAAAGCAGAACTCAATAGTTATGACAGAAACTGTATGACCTACTAAGCCTAAAATATTTACTATCTGGCCCTTTAGAGAACAGGTTTCCTGATCCCTACTCTATAGCTGCACTGTCTGACATAGTAGCCACTAGCTAGCCACGCACGGCTATTGAGCACCTTAAATGCGGCTTGTCCAGACTGAGACGTGCTATAAGTATAAAACACATACCAAACTTTGAAGACTTTATTAAAAAAATACAAAATAGCTCATTAATAACTTCTATATTGATTACATATTGAAATTATAATATTCTAGTTATATATGTATATACATACATATGTGTATATATACTGGGTAAAATAAAACATTATTAAAATTAACTTTACCTGTTTCTTTTTACTTTTTAATGCAGTAAGCAGAAAAATTTTAAATAACGTGATTCACATGATATCACTACTGGAGAGCACTGCACTAGAGTTTAAGATTTAATTCAGCAGTAACAGGCGTGCCCATTTCCATAGGATAATGGCAAACTTGGTTTGCACACTTACACTTTCCTTAATGCGGTAACTTTATGCTTTGAAAGGTTAATAATTTATATAACCTAGAAAATAGACTATAACATTCAATAGATATTTTTGTCTTCTACGCAGATGTCCATTATTAATTTATTCATCAAAAGCCTTAGTATTATGGAAAATTTATCAAAAATCATAGTTTAAAAAATTTTTAAAAGATTAATGTTACAAGATGTTATTTTAGGCTTATTATTGTGAAAATTTATTAAAAACACAGTAGTTACTACTTAGAAATCTGAAACAGAAGCTAATATACCAAACGACAGTACTTATAACAGATGAAAAACTTAAGTGCTACTTTTAAGAACTTATTTTCTAAATTGCTGTGATATTTTTCTTACAGTTAAAACAAGAAATATTCTAATAATTTCAAGTCAAATAAAATCATAAAACCTCTGGAGGTATAAGTAAAGTTTTACAATAAACTAAGCACTGTAGAGTGAATAAAGACAAAAACTGCATTAAAAAATAAAAGTGCAAATACCTAATCTCCCAAAATGTTTCTACAGGAGCATCAGGATTCCATAAATCAATGCTATCTAACTGATGAAGAACCAGCAGAGCCTGAATTAAAAAAAAAGAAAAAGGGAGAGAGAGAAGATTTACTCAAAACATTTTTTGGTAAACATAACACTGGAGTATTTACTTTACAAGTACTAAAAAATTAAGCTATTTCATGTACAGCCTCAACATACAGTAAAAATTAAAAGAGAAAATGCTGGAGAACACAAATTTCTAAGGAATAATACACATACCTAAAGAAATCACTTTACTTCTATCATTCTTATTCTATATGGCATGCACATATGAAGTTAAATAAAACAATATATAACCATAAAAACTGCTTTAAGAAACAACATAATTTCAATAAACCATTAAAGAACTTTGTGGAACAAAATGCTAATCTCCACACAAGGAGGGCTCACCCAAATTAATGCACACAGCCAAAGATAAAAGTGAAGATTCTCTTGCTTGTCACAAATTCTTTTGCAACAGAAAAGATAAATTCAAAAATGAGAGGAAGCAAAACAAACTTTGCATTTCATAGCAGATTATTCACCTGAAGTATTTCAATTGACCATAGAACATTGGGATTTGGCTCACAGAACATTAACAGAAATTAAATAATCCATCTAAAATGTATAACTAACATGTACACTATTATTACTGAAATTAAAACCATTAAATATACAAAGAGTAAAATGTAGATTCTTCCTTCTAACTGATCCTACCTTAACTCCAATGCCACAAAGACTCCTGCCTCCCCTCCCAAATACTGTTGAGTTCTGCACATTTCTTTCAATCCTTGAGCAACATATTTGATGATTTCCTATCTTTTAAAACCTTTTCTTAAAACTCGAACAAAACACTATTTGGAACAGGTAATGAAAACAGATTCCTTCTCTTAAAGCCAAACCAAAATGCATGAGCTGCAAATATCTGCACTGATAACCTGCCTCATGCTAGGGAAAGACATGTAAACGTCTAACCTTGGACCACTCTGTAACTCCAAAAGTTATAAATTATATAAAGATCAGACCTATATTATCTTATTTCAAACATATTCACGCTTGTGCCATTATACTTCAGCCTGGGCAACACAGTGAGACTCCGACTCAAAAAAAAGAGAAAATGTTAGCCTTTTCCCAGCCTTAATATGACTGTTTTTCTTTTCATGTTCCCTTTTTAAAAAAATCTTCCACATATATTTTAACAAAGCTATAAACATTGCATACTCACTTAACACTTCATAAATATTTTTTCAGATTGCCGTGTGACCTAGACAGGTTTTAATGAGTGTTTAACAGGTCACCAAGTTGAAATACCATTCTCTTGTTATTGAATACTAGCCCATTCTCTTACTAGTGAATATTTAAAGTTCACCTGATATTCTCCTATTATAAATGAAAGCAATAGGCATCTACATGTGAAGATTTTTCCTTTTAAGTTGTATTCACAAGATTTTTAAAAATCATAGAAATTTAATTATTTGGACAAAAAACTGGAATACTGTATAACTTCTGCCAAATAGCCTTCCAAAAAGAAGGCAAGTATTGTACCAATTTATAGGACCAATATCAATGTACACAAATATAAGCAATAATTACATAATGAATGCTAAAGTATTTTAAATAAACATTTTCACTAGAGCATACAGTAAGTACAGTAAGGTAGCAAATCAATGAATTTTCACAAAGTATACACCCCCATCATTATCCAGATCAACATTATAAATGCCCAGAAGACTTTTATACATACCCTCCCAGTCACTGGCCCTTCACAAAGGCAGCCATTGTTCTGACTTCCATTACCACAAATTAATTTTGCCTGTTTTTGAGCCTTATATACAAATCATACAGCACGTTCTCTTTGTGTTTGGCTATTTTCACCCAATGTCTGTGAGATTCATCCATATTTTGCATTTAGCAGCTCATTCTTCTTCATTGTTGCACAGTATCCAACTGATTGAACATAACCAAAATTATCTAGATTACTGTTGATACATTTGAATTGTTTCCAGTTTTGAAGGGTTATTAGAAATTATACTGTTAATTTTTTGTATGTGTCTTTTGGTAAACACAAATATGCATTTCTGTTGGACGTATACATGGAATTGCTAACTCATATTTAGATACCGCAAAACATTTTTTTTTTTTCAGTTGGAGTCTCACTCTGTCACCCAGGCTGGAGTGTAGTGGCACACTCACAGTCAACCCAGCGTCGACCTGCTGGGTTCCAGCGATCCTTCTGCCTCAGTCTTCCAACAGCTGGAACTACAGGCACACACTACCACACCCGGATAATTTTTTATTTATTGTAGAGACGAGGTCTCGCCAAGTTGTCCGGGCTGTTCTTGAAGCCATGGGCTCAGGCAAAGTGCTGGGAGTACAGGCTGAGACACCGAGCCCAGCCTGCAAAACAATTTTAATGGTGGTTATACTAATTAATATAATACTAGTAGAGTATGAATGAAAACATAGTATAGTCATTTGACATTTCATGAAATTTTTTTGTTATTGATTTCTAACTTAATTCCATTATGGTCACAAAAAATATTCTGAATGATTTCAATCCTTTGGAAATTGTTGAGCGTTGTTTCATTCATGCTCAGAATACAATAATTGTTCCATATGTACTTAAAAACAAAGCTCCATGTGTACTTGAGTATAGTACTCTATATGTGTGAAATAGGACAAATTTGATAATCATGTAATTCAAATCTCCTACTCTTTACCTTTTTTTTGCTTCAGAGTTTAAGAAAGGTATGCTCAAGCATCCCACTATAACTGGATTTGCTCTCTATATTTTGAAGCTTTCTATATTCTGAAACTTTGCTATCGGGTTCACACAGAGTTTTATTTTCTGGAGGGACTGGATCCCTTTATAATAATATGCCCCTCATCATCTCCAGTAATGTACCTTGCTTTAAACTCTGGATCTACATATTACACCAACCTTCTTGGGTTAGTGTCTGTGTGGTATATTATTCTGTCCTTGCACTATCTTCCAGTGTCCTTATATTTAAGATGTACCTAACGTAAACACCACACAGTAAGATTTTTGCTTTCCTGGGTGTTTACTTAAGAGAAATGAAAGCATATGTCCACACATAGATTTATTTATAATGATCTTTCTAGATTTATTTGTAATAGCCAAAAACTGGAAGCAACACAAATATCTGTCAACAGGTAAGCAAACTGTGCTATATTTATACAATGGAACACCATGCAGCATAAGAAAACATGAATTTTTAAAAAGGGAATACTGACACGTGCAAAAACACAGATGAATGTCATAATACTAAAGCTGACTTAAAGAAGATAGACAAAAAGTATATATTTTGTGACTCCATTTACGTAAAATGCAAACTGACCTATAGTATCAGAAAGCAGGTCATTAGTTGCAAAGAAGGCAAGGGGGCAGACAAGGGACAAGAAGGGTAGGGAGAGAAGTTAGGAGGGGGAACTACCAAGGAGCACAAGGTAACTTTTGGAGTAATGGGTATGTCTACCTCAGTGAATATCAAGAAGTGAATAAACTGTGGGATGGATCATCATCAGTGGAATACTTCATCAACAATCAAAAGGAAGGAGCTAATACATTGCAACACACGAATGAATCTTAAAAACTTGCTGAGTGAAAGAAGGCATACAAGGTCAGGCTTGGTGGCTCAGACTATAATCCCAGCACTTTGGGAGGCCAAAGCGAAAGGATTGCCTGACTCTGTGGGTCAGAGACCAGCCCGGGTAACTTGGCGAGACTTCGTCTCTACAATAAATCAAAAATTAGCCGGGCATGGTAGCGCACGTCTGCCGTTCCATCTACTTGGAAGGCTAAGGCAGAAGGATCGCTGGAGCTTAGCACCTGCTGGGGTGGCTGTGAGTGTGTGCCACTGCACTCCAGTCTGAATGAAAGAATGAGACTCCAACTCAAAAAAAAAAAAAAAAGAAAGCATACGAATAAAGATACATTATCTAACCATTCATATGAACTTCTATACAGGCAAAACTAATCTAGAGTGACAGAAATCAAACAGGTGGCTGTCTGGGACAGGCATTGGGAGCATTAATTGCCCTAGGACACAAGGGAACTTTCTGTGGTGATTAGAAATATTCTTTTATTAAATGTAAATTATGCCTCACTAAAATTGATTTAAATTAAAACCATATTCATTAAGTAATCAATACATAAAATTTTTTTAAGTCAACTGCATTCACACCTACTAAAACAGATAATCAAACAGTCAAACGATAACAAATGTCAGCAAGAATGCAGAAGTACATTGCTAGTGGGAATATAAAATAATGCAGTAGCCTTGGAAGAAAGTTCAGCAGTTCCTAAAAAGTTCAACAGAGTTACCATTTGACACAGCAATTTCACTCCTAGATATATCCATACAAGATACGTCCATATAAAAACTTTGACACAAATTGTTATAGCAACATTATTCACGACATCCAAAAAGTGGAAACAACTCCAAATGTCTAGGAACTGATGACTAGATTAACAAAATCAATATTCGTACAATGAAATATATAGCAATAAAAAGGAAAGAGACACTGATTCATGCCACAATATGAATGAACCTTGAAAACATTATGTTAAGTCAAAGTAGCCAGACATAGTAGGCCACATATTGTATGTTTCTATTTATATGCAATGTCTAAAATAAGAAAATCCATAGAGACAGAAAACAGATAAGAGGTTGCTAAGGCTTGGGAGAATGAGAGGATGACGAGTTTCTTCTTGGGGTGATAATGTTCTGGAATTAGATAGCGGTGAATATATAAAATCCACACTTTAAAATGGTGAACTTCATGATATGCGAATTACGTTTCAATTTTTAAAATTAATACATATTTTAAAAATTCAAAAAGTCACCTGTGATTAGAAAATCTTGAACTCTTTTACTAAGCATAAGAATTTGTGCAGTGTTGTTCTACTGATGTTATAAAAAAAGTAAAACCCTTCTCTCTCCATGAAGCTTTATAAAGCAAGGATAGTCACAAACATATCATTTCCAGAAATGACATCTACCTATTACTCAAAGAAACCATACACTAAAGGAACATTAAAAAAGGTACATAATTACAATCTTCCCTTCAAGAGCCTAGAATTCATTTTCCTCTTACCTCCATTGCTTCTTGAGCAATCTCTGGCATGTGTGACTGAGGGACCAGCTGGACAAGCCCTGTAATTAATTCTGCTGTACTGCCTTGGGTCTCAGGCCCCTGTTTTCTTGGATTCTGCAAAGAAAAAAGGAACTTCCATTTAAAAAAACATCAGTTCGCAGGAAGAAAGAATGGAGAGCAACTGCTAAAGGATATCTGCTTTCTTTTAGGGATAATAAATATGTTCTAACATTAGATAGTGGTGATTGTTGCAGAACCTTGTAAATGTACTGAAAGCCACTGAATTGCAAACTTCAAAATGGTGAATTTTATGGTATATGGATCATATCCCAAGAAAAATAACAATATAATTTTTAGCCAGGCTTAGTGGCTCAGCCTGTAATCCCGCGCCTTTGGGAGGCTGAGGTGAGTGGATTGCTTGAGCCCGCGGGTTCGAGACCCTCCTGGGCGGCGAGACCTCATCTCTACAATGAATCAAAAAATCAGCCAGTCATGATAGCGCATGCCTGTAATTCCAGCTACTTGGAAGGCTGAGGCGGAAGGATCGCTGGAGCCCAGCAGGTTGAGGCTGCGGTGGCCGGGAGCGGCCACTGCACTCCAGTCTAGGCGACAGAGTGAGACTCCAACTCAAAACAAACAAACAAACAAAAAACAACATAATTTTTAAAAAATGAAAACAACCTGCTTTTGTTAGGAATTCTCTTAATCCATATCTATACTTGTCCATTAATGTGAATAATATCTGGGAAAATTCTAATGAAAAGGAAACAAACTAAGTACTAGCTTTTCCATTAAGAAATTATATCAATAATATGAGGGGTAAATAATTTTTTGGACAAGTAATATGCTGGCTAAATAATATACCTCTGGTTTGGAACTTACTGGTTGAGCTTATACATGATTGTGATCAAAGGCAAAGAATATACATATTGGATGGAGACCGCATGGTTATCCTGTACAGTCCTCTTGCCCAGGAACAAGGTCCTGCCCAAATCTATACAGCTGGTATCAAAGGGAGGGATAGAATCCACACCTCCAGATACCCATATGTCAGTTCTTTCCATTGTGGAAAAACATAGCATGCTAAGCAACAAAAATTCATGTTGCATATAAATGTGAATGCCTATCAATTTAAAGAAACTAAAATGTTTCTCAGAATGCAGAAGCATCTTTTTACACTTAAAGAACTATTTGCACTTCATTTAACTGAGGTCAATACAACTTCTGTCCACATTTTATCTTGCTAACTACAGATTCTTCCCCATTATAATGACTAAGGTAAGCCCTCACCCTATTATATCTGTAATTCAAAACTATAGGCCCATTTCCTGACACTTATATTAATTTATTCATAACCAATGATGTTTACTGAACACCAAAGATACAACAATTAAAAAAGATGTGTTTCCCACTCTCCATGAGCATGTAGTCTCATGGGGTGACAACATCTGTAAAATAATCAAAACAAGCATAAATCTGCAAATCAGGTAACAGGGATCAAGGTACATGCTACTATGAGAGTCCATAATAGGGGAATGCAGCCTGGTCAGGGAGGCTTCCTTAGGCAGTAATAATAACTAAAAATTAGTAGGAATGACCATGAAGAGTAGCAGGAAACAGATTCTAGGCAGAAGAAAAAGCAAGTGCAAGGGCAGATATGAAGGACTATGATAGAAGAATCGAAAGAGAGGCCACCATGAATAGAGAAGACAAAGAAAAATGTAATGAATGCTAGATGTAGATGAAGTGGTAGGTAGGAGACTTTGCATGACCTTGTAGATCTACTTGGAACTTGGTCTTTTGTGCAAGAATGATTTCAATAAAAGGTTTTAACTTGGGCAGGGCAATGTTAAGATCTCCAGTGCAGATAAATGATGTCGAGGCCTGTAAGAAATGATGCAAGCCAAGCAATTGGGAGGTTTGAAAAACTGAGAGTAATAAGATGGAAGTCTTATTACTTTAAAAATACCAAGATTGATACCATTTAACAATTATTTCTATATTCTTCTTATTTACTAAGGTACAGAATTTTAATCAAAGGCAAATAAAAATACAAAATGATTAAATATTTACAAGGAATCTTTCACGTACTTATGGTTACTTTGAGAAAAGCTACTGACCACTAGATGGCAGCAAAGAAAATAATTTTCATTTTAAATGACCCTTGGAAAACAACAAGTTTTACTTAAACTCTTCTTTGAATATGAATATATTTAACACAAAGGCATCAATGAGCTTGATACCTTCTTTGAAACTGAATTATAGCCATGTAAACAGAGTGATGCTAATATTATGTGACTCTTATGATGAAATAATGCCACAAATAGCTTGCGACACACAATACTTTTTCTGACAGATTTTATGAAATTTTTCTATGAAAAATATCTATTTATTGTATTAGACTTCCAATTTTGAATGGGCTTTCCAAAGAGTTCAAAATATCATAGGCCTTTTTGTGGTGACACTGATCCTTTTGGGAATTCTATGTTCTCTCTTCTCTCCAGAAAAATTATTCATACATACACATTTTTTAAAATTCAGGGGCTTCATAGAACTCTTGAAGCCATAGGCATTTAACCATTAACCCCATATTATAGTAATTTGAAAAACATGCCATCAAAATTGAAAGCACCTTAGCACTCAAAAAGTCTGTTTCTGAACAAAGCAGAAAGAAACTTTGCCTAATCTGCTCTCCAGGGACTGGAGAAATTCAACAAAGGTTAAATATATCATCCTATGAACTTCACAATTATACAACTCTTGTATTTGGAGCATTTGTAATATTAGTGTTAACTGTATCTTATTAATAAGAATGATAGCTAACATCTAACATTTATTTAGTGATTACGCACCCAGCATTGTTCCTAAAAGCATTATATATACTATTTCAATCATCTTTTTTTTGGAGTTGAAGTCTTGAGGTATCACTCTGTTGTCCAGACTGGAGTGGAGTGGCAAGATCACTGCTACTGCTGCCTCAGTTTGCTGGGCTCAGGCGATCCTTCTGCCTCGGCCTTTTAAGCAGCTCAATCTTCTTAACAATCTGAGGTAGTAACTGTTATTATCCCAAGATTTCAGATGAGAAAACTAAGTTCCCCCAATCACATAGCTAGTAAGTAGTCTGTCTCTAGAGCCCATGCTTTCAACCACTCCATTTAACTATCACTCATTTATATTATTTACATTAGCTTGAATTACTCTGTGTTCCAGAATCATGTTCTTAGGAATCTAATACCACCTGAGGCAGTAAGAGCAAATCTATGACAATAATTGAGTACTAATCACAACAATTTTCATCTCCTTCTGTTTCTTTTTCTTTTCTTTTTTTAAGTCAGGGTATCACTTTGTCACCCAGGCTGGAGTACAGGGGCATGATCATGGTGCCTGGGCTCAGGTAATCACCTGCCTCAACCTCCTAAGTAGCTGGCGCCTGCCACCATGCCTGGCTAAGTTTTTTATTTTTTGTAGAGATGAGGTCTTACTATGTTACCCATGCTGGTATCAAACTTCTGGGCTCAAGTGATCCTCCCACCTTGGCCTCCCAAAGTGTTGGGATTACAGGTATAAGTCATCATACTCAGCTCCTTCTGTTCCTTACACAGTATTTGCAGGTAGAGCCAATGACAATTAAAGGTTGATAACAGAAAGGGGAACAGAAGAGCTAAACTTCTGGCAATAGTAACTGGAGAACCAGTGGTGTAAGAAATAGAAAGCACAAGTGATTTATGGTTGCTTCATTATTCCAATTCCATCCCAGGATTATACCCGAATATTATGTAACCTAATAAAAGGGTGAGGACAGAAGATCTCAAAGGATTTTAGTTTACTGATAAGGGAAATTAAAAAGAAAGATGAAGAAATCTGATCTAATTATATTAGTATTTTCCATAAGGTAGCTTTCTTAGGGGTGTCTTAGGTTTCAGGTATGATCAGAAAGAATCACTTCAGTGTTCTTTAACAACAGTCCACACGGTCTTGGCATTTCAGTTAAACCAAATTAAGTTAGTGTGACAATTTTGAGGCATTTCATTAAAAAAAAATACTTACACAAAGCAAGAGCTTTGGATCTGCATGAATGAGTTTCACCATGGACAAGAGAAGATACTTATAGCTTCTTGTCTCCAGGTCTGTAGGTTTTTCTTTAAATTTAAGGCTTGTTACTTTTTCTTTAAATGTAAGACTCTAAAAACAGAACAAAAACATGGTATCAACTTGTAAGACTCAGATGTAAGACTAAGAATAATAGCTATCCACCTTTTTAAAGGGAATTTATTATTAAAAAAAAGTCTTGGAAAAATAAACAGATATTTTATACCACTAAATGTGTGGTATTAGTAGAAATACTCAAAAGCACAAGGTTAACATAATGAAGCTTAAAAGAGCTTTTTAAAAAATTTGTACTACTTATATCATTCTTAATCAGTCTAGTAAAACTTAATGAAAAGCTATTAAAATGCTTAAAGCTTAATATCAGGTTGTAAAAAAAAATCCTATGTAAAAACAATTTTCCAAAATATGAACACATAAGGGAAAAAATATTTGGCCTACAGCTCTCACAGATATACACACTGGGAAACTCAATTAACAACACTATTCCCCACACATACATACAAATATTTCATAGAATCCACAATTATCAACATTAAGATGCATCATTATTTGATGTCCCAAAAAGAAAGAAAAAATCACTGTCAATTGCAAGACACCACACAAAATAAGACACATCCCCAATTTCAGAGAAATCTCAGAGAAACGTAAAATAAGTGCTTCTTAGAACTGATGAAATATGTTATACAGGCAATCTCTGTATTTAACAGTTTAATTGTAAATTTTGCTTTTTCTTTCTACAGCATTCCATCTCTCTCAAGTTACAGAAGGCATACATTTGTCTGAAGAACATTCATAAGACAAAAAGAGAACTCTGAGAAAGATTAAATTATGGAAAATGTTTCATCATACTATGATGAACTAAAGTAATTATGGACACTATTCAACCAAAAATCCAACAGTGATACTCTGCATCTTTTATCACCCTTCTCTCTATTCTTATAAAGCATTTCATTTTTCCCTTTAAAAGGACACAAAAAATCTGGTTTTGAAATGAATGTCTTTATGTGAGCATAGATCTAAGTAGCATCTGTGCACCCATGATAAAAAAAAGTCCAAGTAAACAGACCATCTTCCAAAGTTAAAAAGTGGACATGCATATCTATAATATGCATCAACTATCCTCAATGTTTAGTTATAAAAATGAATTTATTATTATGCCCAAGAAGACCGAAGGCTTTTTGATCCTCAGTGGAGAAGAATAGCTATGCAATATACACATTTATTTTCAAGAATTACCCTACAGAGAAGAAATAGCAAAACTTAAAAATAGTGCTTGCTTTTATAACTCCCAAGGCAAATGTCCTATCAAATGTATTTAATCAATCCTGGTTTTATTGTTTTGCTCGTGTTAAATTTTTTCTCATTTATCTAAATTGAGGTGTTCCACCTAAGAACAAGATGAAGCGTTCATGGAGGAAATGTATTTACCATGATGTAACTAAGTGTATCTATCAAACTGTTCTTCCCTGATGCTGCCATTGCACAGGAACACAAGATCAGAGAACAACTTGCAGATTTAAGAATCACTGAATCATTCCTTACTTAGTAATCATTTCCAAAAAGAGTGAACAGAGTCACAAGCTATATAATAACATTCCAGTCAATACAGACTGCATGTACTACGGTGGCCCCATAAGACTGTAAAAGAACTGAAAAATTTCTATTGTGTAGTGACATCACAGCTATTAAAATGCCTAAGCATAACACATTGCACATGTGCTTTTGGTGATGCTGGTATAAACAAACCTACTGTGATGCCTGTCATATAAAAGTATAGCACATACAACTATATACAGTATATAATACTTGATAATGATAATAAATGACTGTTATTGGTTTATGTCTTTACTATAGTACACTTTTTATTGTTAGAGTGTACTCTTTCTACTTATATATATATTTTAAAGTTAAATGTAAAACAACCTCAGGCAGGTCCTTCAGGAGGTATTCTAGAAGAAGGCATTGTTACCACAGGAGATGACAGCTCTATGTGTGCTATCTTCCCTAAAGACCTATCCGTGGGAAAGACATGGAGATGGAAGACAGTGATATTGAAGATCCTGACCCAGTGAAGACCTAGATTAATGTGTGCTTCTGCCTTAATTTTTAACAGAGTTTTAAGAATTAAGATTAAATTTTTTAAAATAAAGCTTACAGAATAAGGACGTAAAGAAAAAGTAGAGCCGGGCTCGGTGGCTCAGCCTGTAATCCCACGCCTTTGGGAGGCTGAGGTGAGTGGATTCCCTGAGCCAGCGGGTTCGAGACCCGCCTGGGCAGTGAGACCTCATCTCTACAATAAATCAAAAAATCAGCCGGGCGTGGTAGCGCATACCCGTAATTCCGGCTACTCAGAAGGCTGAGGCGGAAGGATCGCCGGAGCCCAGCAGGTCGAGGCTGCGGTGGCCGGGAGTGGCCACTGCACTCCAGTCTGGGCGACAGAGTGAGACTCCAACTCAAAAAAAAAAAAAAAAAAGAAAAGAAAAAGTATTCTTGTACAGCAGTCCAATGTGTTTTTTTAAGCTAAGTGTTATTACAAGAGTCAACAAGTTTTAAAAATTTTTTAATTTTGGCTGGGCTTAGTGGCTCAGTCTGTAATACCAGCACTTTGGGAGACCGCAGGTTCGGGACCAACCCGGGCAACTTGGCAAGACCTCATCTCTACAATAAATCAAAAAATCAGCCGGGCGTGGTAGCGCATACCCGTAATTCCGGCTACTCAGAAGGCTGAGGCGGAAGGATCGCCGGAGCCCAGCAGGTCGAGGCTGCGGTGGCCGGGAGTGGCCACTGCACTCCAGTCTGGGCGACAGAGTGAGACTCCAACTCAAAAAAAAAAAAAAAAAAGAAAAGAAAAAGTATTCTTGTACAGCAGTCCAATGTGTTTTTTTAAGCTAAGTGTTATTACAAGAGTCAACAAGTTTTAAAAATTTTTTAATTTTGGCTGGGCTTAGTGGCTCAGTCTGTAATACCAGCACTTTGGGAGACCGCAGGTTCGGGACCAACCCGGGCAACTTGGCAAGACCTCATCTCTACAATAAATCAAAAAATCAGCCGGGCGTGGTAGCGCATACCCGTAATTCCGGCTACTCAGAAGGCTGAGGCGGAAGGATCGCCGGAGCCCAGCAGGTCGAGGCTGCGGTGGCCGGGAGTGGCCACTGCACTCCAGTCTGGGCGACAGAGTGAGACTCCAACTCAAAAAAAAAAAAAAAAAAGAAAAGAAAAAGTATTCTTGTACAGCAGTCCAATGTGTTTTTTTAAGCTAAGTGTTATTACAAGAGTCAACAAGTTTTAAAAATTTTTTAATTTTGGCTGGGCTTAGTGGCTCAGTCTGTAATACCAGCACTTTGGGAGACCGCAGGTTCGGGACCAACCCGGGCAACTTGGCAAGACCTCATCTCTACAATAAATCAAAAAATCAGCCGGGCGTGGTAGCGCATACCCGTAATTCCGGCTACTCAGAAGGCTGAGGCGGAAGGATCGCCGGAGCCCAGCAGGTCGAGGCTGCGGTGGCCGGGAGTGGCCACTGCACTCCAGTCTGGGCGACAGAGTGAGACTCCAACTCAAAAAAAAAAAAAAAAAAGAAAAGAAAAAGTATTCTTGTACAGCAGTCCAATGTGTTTTTTTAAGCTAAGTGTTATTACAAGAGTCAAAAGTTTAAAAAATTAAAAATTCATAAATTTTAAAAGGTATAGTAAACTAAGGTTAATTTATTATTGAAGAAATTCTTAAAAAATAGTTAGTTCAGCCTAAGTGTAGAGCATTTATAAAGTCTATAGGAATGTCTAGGCCTCTATAATCACTCACCACTCACTCACTGACTCAGAGCAACTTCCAAGCCGGCAAGCTCCAGTCATGTAAGTGTCCTATACAAGTATACCATTTTTTTCTCTAATAGCATATTTTTACTGTACTTTTTCTATGTTTAGGTACACAAATACTTGCCCTTTTGTTATAACTGCCTACAGTATTCAGTACAGTAACATGTTGTACAGCTTTGCAGCCTAAGAGCATTAGGTTATAGATGTCACATAGCCTGGGTATATAATCGGCTCTGCCATCTAGGCTTGTGTGAGTACAGTATGATTTTGGCACAACAACAAAATCACCTAAGAACATATTCCTCAGGACATATCCCTGTTGTTAGGCAATGTATGACTATCCTAATTTAAATATGTCACTCAATCTCAAGTATCAGTGTGTAAATTTTGTTCCAGCATGGCTGCCTACATAAGAATGGAGAAATGTTAACCTATCTATTCAACTCAAATACCTTTTTAGTTTCATGACCATTAGTGGGCTATATAAAGTCAGGAATAACTTGTTAAAGAAGAACTGTATTTCTTAATTAGTAATGTAAGAAAAAAATTAATTAATTTATTAACTGATCTTTCACACTGCAGATATTAATAGAGATCCAAGCTGGTTCTTGTGATCTGGCCAAAGAAGAGAGGCAGTCATGCCTGGAAAGAAATTTATAAACCAGACTTCAGATATCTATCAAGGACCCAAACCACTTGTTAAGTTAATTAAGACCCCATGACTGAATTACAGACATGGAAGAAGCATTTGCTAAGCCAGGGTCCTCTTTAAAATGAAAAGTAATGAGAAAGTGTACATATTTGTGAAAATTCATATTTCTATTATTGACAATTTCAATTTTACAAAAGCAGATCTTAGTTTTAAAATAAATGACTAGTGCTGAGACAAACATTTCACATTTTAAAACATACTACAAAAGTACAAAGAAGGAAAAGTCATGGTTCAACATTGATATGAAAAAGATCAAACAATTAAAATAACTAAAAGTTGAATATAAAATAATAATACAATCTTAAAGTATATTAACACATTTGAGACTGGCAAATTTTTCACTGTCCTACCACTGGTAGTGGATGAAAATAAAAGAAATCTGAAGCTAGTTGCCACAAACTTCTGTCATTAAGCACAAGTGAAATGGCCTTTTCTAAATTGTCACCTTTTTCACAATACAGCTGAAAGTTGCAGATATATCCAGTATTTGCCTCAAACACCACTCTGACTAGCATTCTGTACTTTGTATTTTTATTCGGATTTTAAACCTGAAAAGAGTCTTCCATGATGAGGCATCATGGACTCATCCAAGCAAAGTTCTTGCTCAGGTTTGTACATGGTGTTGAATTTATTTAAAACATAATTTATTACGGGTTCAATTTTGTATAACTTGCTTGGATTTGACTGTATTTCTTCATTATTGGAAAAATGCAAAAACCTCAAAATTTGTAGAACTATATTTCATGACATTATTTTTGAAAAGAAATGCATCACAATTGATGGACATCTTGACTAATAATCATGTATTGTAGTTTTCTTCACTTGTCCCATCAAAATATTTAATGCTAGAAATTTTTTCATCTCAGACACTGTAGTATCACTCCACCTTTATTTTTATTTTTATTTGTGGTGCATCTGATCATAATACAGTTTCAGTTACAATCATTTCCATAAAATCATCTCCAATAAAGTCCAACAACTTCAATTATACTTTGAGGAGCATTTGGAAATACCTTGTCACCGGGATTACCAATAAACACTTCTAAGTTTCTTTTTGGATCATATTTAGTCCACTCAATGTCTGATTCATTCTCACCAGTACTAGATTCACTGTCATACATTATCTGCGTTATATTTCTTCATTCACATTGCATCACTACATCACTGTCTCACTATCACTTAATAAGTTCACTAGATTCACCTTGGACCTCAGAAATCTTATCAATATATAGATCTTCATTTTCCATAATTATGGTAATTTTTTTTTTTTTTTTGAATTGGAGTCTCACTCTGTTGCCCAGGCTGGAGTGCAGAGGCACACTCATGGCCACCCCAGCATCGACCTGCTGGGCTCCGGCGATCCTTCTGCCTCAGCCTTCCAAGTAGCCAGAACTACAGTCACGTGCTTCCATGCCTGGCTAATTTTTGATTTGTTGTAGAGATGAGGTCTTGCCAAGTTGCCCGGGCTGGTCTCAAACCCACGGGCTCAGGCAATCCACCCATCTCAGCCTCCCAAAGTGCTAGGATTACAGGCTGAGCCATAGAGCCTGGCTGTAAATTATTCTTAATGTTGAAGTATGAAAGCCTTGAAATATTAAAATACAGGTATACAACACTAAGCGAAATAAAATGACCAACTTGCAATTTTTACCAACTACATAAATCAATAACAACATTGCACAGTCAATATAAGATAATTATCTCAATTAACTTTCTCCTTGCCTGACTACTCATTTTCAAGCAAAATATAATTAACACATATATGTGACAATGTAAGAGCATTCAGAAACAGAATTTGCAAAGACGCAAATTCATGTCAGTGACAGCCAGGAACAGAATTTGGAACGACATGAATTCATATCAGTGCTTGTGAATGAGTTAATAGAAACACAGTGCCCAAACACAGTAGGCTAATAGTTTTTATTTATTAAACCACATCTGGCCGGGCTTAGTGGCTCAGCCTGTAATCCTGCGCCTTTGGGAGGCCAAGGTGAGTGGATTGCCTGAGCCCGCGGGTTCAAGATCTGCCTGGGCAACTTGGCGAGAACTTATCTCTACAATAAATAAAAAAAAAAAATTAGCCGGGTGTGGTAGCACGTGCCTGTAGTTCCAGCTACCTGGAAGGCTGAGGCGGAAGGATCGTTGGAGACCAGCAGGTAGAGGCTGCGGTGGCCGGGAGCGGCCACTGCACTCCAGTCTGGAAGACAGAGTGAGACTCCAACTCAAAAAAACCCCCCCAAAAAAACCCCACATCTGGAACACTAGGATCAGAACTTAATATGCCATTTTAGTTTTTAGAAATTTCGTTAGGTAGGTCTTTCTAGAAGAGAAGCAAACCAGATGGAAGAGGGTTTTGAACCCAGGTCAAATAAGAAAATCATTCATGCGTTCAACAGATACACAATAAACACCTAGTAGGTACCAGATGCTGTTCTAGGAGCTCTGAATTCAGTATTGAACAAGCCAGATAAAACTTCTGCTCTCATCAAGCTAACTTACTAGTGAGGGAAGACAACTAAAGAACTGATAAAGACACTGGACTGAGTATCAAGAAACCTCAGAACTAACTCTAGCTGACCATTCACTAACCAAGAGACTATAATTCATTTAACATTATTTGGTCCTCAGTTGCATTAGCCATAAAAACAAACCAAACACACGACATTTTTAAAGAAGGCTAAAAGAATAAAATCTCTTCCAATCCTAAAACTGTATAAAAATAAAAAGAACCCTAGGAGTACAGGATAACATTGTATCTGCAGGGCTGCCTTGTGGAAGAATCATAAGTTTTCTTATAGAGCTCCAAAAGAAGGCCAGGCGCATGACTCACATCTGTAATCCCAGCACTTCGGGAGGCCAAGGCAGGAGATCACCTAAGGCCAGAGTTCCAGACCAGCCTGGGCAATATAGCAAGACCTTGTCTCTACAAAAAATTTAAAAGAAATAACTTCAAAAGAATCAATATGGCTGGAAGTGAGAGAGACATGAGTCTATCTTGGTTAAAGAGAAAATTTTCAAATAGTTCTTTCCAACAAGTGGTTGTAAAGCCTTGAAACATAGATTCTTTTTTTTTTTTACAAACTGAATTTCTTGATTGCTACTTCTGCAGCAAGCTAAAGGCTCAGGTTTATTAGAGTCCCAAATCATCTGAGGCAATACAAATGAGTGACAAACCACTGAACATATCATGTAACGCAGTGATTCTCAACGGGAGGTGATTTTATTCCCTCGGGGACACATTAAAAAGTCTGGAGACATTTTTGGTTTTCATGACTGTGAGGGGGTAGGGATAGGGAAGTACTGGCAACTGGTGAGTAGAGGCCAGAGATGCTGCTAAACACGCCACAATGCACAGGACTGCCCTGTACAAAAGTAATCCATACTTCCATATCTGTTAATTGACTATTAACCCACCAAGTTTATGAGGAGTGACATTCTAAAATGAGGAAATTCTAAAATGTCCTTATTCTAAAATATCAGTTCATATTAATCTGCCAATTATTTTCTCTGATAAAAATATCAGTCAGAAAGTTGTCCTTTAGCCAAGATGAACAAATATATATACATACAAAAAACCCCACAAAAATAAGAAGCTTAAGAATGATTTTGAAAATTTAATGTATATTGATATTGCCAGAGAACAATTAGATATAAAAACTAAATTTTTATCACAGGTATCCTTAGGCCAAAAGAGGAAATTCTCTCTAGCTATGGCTTTTATAAAATAATGATCAGTAGTATAATATGTAGTTTAGAATCAGTTAATAATTATGGCTAAGTAGCAAAATAACTTCTAAATGAGAACATCTTCAGACTAGATTGTCTTTGTTCAAAAGAATTATTTAGTTTCATTTCCTTTTAGTCCTCATAAACAGCAAATTATAGAGAGCTGGTAAACTGGATATTAAAGTTAAATAGAAAACGAATATTAACCTTCCACCAATTCCTGTTATTGAAGGCCATTCATTTTCTACCAGAAAAGTTAGTCAAAATGAAAAGTCAAATAAGTTCTAATTTCCCAGAAGATCTCTGGAATAAATAAATAGGTCAATAAATATTTTTAAACAATTTATATCAAGTAATTTTCTAATTGAAAAAGAGGTATCTAATTAAATAACATTTAAATAGCTATTATTTATGCTTTCTTCTTCAATCAAGTTATATCTATTTGAAAATTTTTCAACTTAAAAAAAAATTCAGTACTTGGCATTATAAAAACTCACCTAAAAATAACCTTACATTCTGAAATATACTTAATAAAATAACACTGCGCTGATCTTTTGGCTATAATTTTTTTAGGTTAAATAATCCCAAAATATATGGTATATATAACTTCTCTATTTGAATATCTAACATAAACAATCCTCAGAAATAATTACTGACAACTGGATAAGAGTGAACCACAACTATATAAAATCAAAATATTTTACTGACTAAGGGAACTTGGAAAAACAGAAGCATGCCAGGGAGGATGCTATTTATATTATTTCTTAAGTGTGAAATGACTAATGTACTAGATAAAACCAACAGGTGAAGACATGCTACATTTTCATTTGAAATGACAAGATGTGACTATAATGGTAACTATACACAGAAAAGTCAAAGAAACCAAGGACTTTTCTGAGGTAGTTACAATGGGTCATACTTACAGCCACAGAAGCCCACTGCCATGCAAAACAGTGACTGGTTGGCATCTGATCATGTGAGCGACAGCAGCCAATAAGAATAGAAAATAAGAAGCAGAAGACAAAGCACCACCAATCAATGTCAAGAGTAGCCATGTATAATACTCTTGCTATACATAAACACCAAGAAATGATTTATACAATCCCATAATTATTGGTTTAAATTGATTCCATGAGTTTATAGTTACATATTAAGAGAAATAATCTGTTAGAACACCTAATTTGAAAACAGTCTGCTTTTAAGTTTAAACATAGTCAAACTTCAATTTCAAAGTGCCTATCATTTTTAAATGCTCAGAGCACATTTGCTGAAATATGAAATTTTTAAATTTTATATAAAAATTCTAAATTTTATTCCTAACTTCCTATGTGAAATACTCAGCAACTGGTGAGCTAAAATGTGCACTAACAGGAACCTTCACTCTAACCCAGGAGTCAGCTTCTCTTAATCATCCCCAAAAGGTAATCAAAATATTTTCATTCATGTAGAAAAGTTAAAGGAAAAAGAATCTTTAAAAAGAGAAGAAAATGTGAGATTCATTAAGACTCTATCAGCATTTTATTTAAAAATTCTCTCTAAGAAAAATAAGTTCAACTCATTGAAACAGTGGAAAACAATCATTAATAGGATTCAGTAATATACAACACACCACAACATAGAAAAGGAAGGACTCATTCGATTCTCTAAAATAATCAAAGCAGCTCAAATACAATAAAGACACTAAAAATGCAATTGAAAGAAGGTAAGATTCAAAACTCCTCACGTGTCTTACCGGTGCCATTCGTATTGCTGGGTGTGCTCCACAACCTTGCACTGCTTTATGAAGTGTTTCACCAAACATATTTCGAAGTTCGACAGAATGACAATACACAGCATCAATCTTGGGCCACCAATCCAATGCAGACTGGAGAAAATAAAGACCATAAGAAAAAAAAAGCACAAAATCACATGAGTTGTATGCTCTGATTATCACTGTAGTTTTAAGTTTCATCCTTTCGGCAGAAACCTTCTAAGACCATGCAAACACACACCATGATTTTGAAGTCTTCAAATGATGTCTTTAATTCAAACACCAACCCATACATGTTATATTTTAAAACATAACAATGAGCATGAGACAAATTGTCCACTTCATGAGCATGTGTATATGAGCTATCTTTTCTCACTGATAAGCTAATGAATTTGGGGGAAAAGGCCTTTAGAGAGGTAATTCTGTAGCCAATCTTTTTCTTTTTTTTAAAGTTTAATGTTTTATACAATTTCTATATAAATTTCTGTATTTACATATCTATACATGCATATATGGCATATACTTTCCTGGATAATAATGCTATTATTAAAACATGAAAAGAGATTAGTGGTTCAACACAATATTGAAAGGATATACGGAAAACCATTACTAATATGCTCACAAACAAGGAAAATTACAACATAAAATTAGTAAATGAGACAAAGCTATTAGTAAGTAAACATAATCGTAAATTGAGATGCAATGATGGCACAATACATTGGAGACTAACAATCACCATCAACAATGACAATCTGATGCTAGTTGAATTTTTTAAATATTTTACTTTAAAGATGTGGGGTACGATTCAGGATTTTTTTTTTTTGAGTTTCACTCTGTTGCCCAGGCTGGAGTGCAGTGGCATACTCATAGCCACCACAGTCTTGACCTGCTGGGTTTAGGTGATCCTTCTGCTCAGGCTTCTGTGTATCATCATGTCCGACTAATTTTTTGATTTATTGAAGAGACAAGGTCTCATCAAGTTGCCCAGGCTGGTCTCGAACTCCTAGGCTCAGGCAATCCTCCCACCTCAGCCTCCCAAAGCTCTGGGATTACAGGCGTGAGCCACTGCACCTGGCTGAATGTTTTTGGGTTGTTTTTTTTTGAGTTAGCATCTCATTCCATCACCCAGGCCGGAGTGCAGTGGCATGCTCACAGTCACTCCAGCATCCCGCTACTGGGCTCAGGCGAGCCTTCCGCCTCAACCTTCCAAGTATCCAGAACTACAAGCATGTGCTACCACGCCTGGCTAATTTTTTGATTAATTGTAGAGACGAGGTCTCACAGTTGCCCAGGCTGATCTTGAACCCCTGGACTTAGGCAATCCTTTTGCCTCAGCCTCCCAAAGTGCTGGGATGACAGGCTTGAGCCACCACAATCAGCCTATTTTATTTTATTTTATTTTATTTATTTATTTTTTTTTTTGAGTTGGAGTCTCACAGCCTCGACCTGCTGGACTCCGGCGATCCTTCCGCCTCAGCCTTCCAGGTAGCTGGAACTACAGGCGCGCGCTACCACGCCCGGCTGATTTATTGTAGAGATGAGGTCTCGCCAAGTTGCCCAGGCGGGTCTTGAACCAACGGGCTCAGGCAATCCACTCACCTCAGCCTCCCAAGGCGCGGGATTACAGGCTGAGCCACCGAGCCCGGCTGACAGCCTATTTTTAAAAGAATTATTTTCTACTTCAATTTAACCTGTGTAGCTTTGATGTCTTGTTTTTAGTCCCTATTTTATTTAAAGGTGTATCTTTACCTTTTACTTTTAAATGAATGAACTGACATATTACAAAAAATTGCAACTATAAAAATCACTACATCTATAAAGTTTGTCTATCATTTAATATAAAAATAACTGGATGAATTTTCACTACATATGCAGAGTTTGTATGAAGTGGAATGACTTAAAATACAGGCTTCCAATTTATAATACTCCTGTTATAAGAAACATCTGGAAGAATGATAACATATTCAAATAGAGATAAGAGGGACTTAATAGCTTCGCATTCCATTCCCAGATTCCTTCTTTTTCAAAACTATGCTAATTAAAATCTTAGCATTTCATTTCTTCATTCATAGTTCTCAGGACATTTTGCCTAGCATCAAGTTATATTATCTTAATCAAAACTATGGGTTACAAACTCTGTTTATTGGATAGTAAAATACAAAGCCAGTTTATTACACAGTTTGAATACTGAACTCCACTCAGGATGGGATTCCAAAGCTGTGAGGAAATAAATGCTTTTTTTTTTTTTTTTTTAACATAATGGTTGTTTATGCTTTTCCCTCAATTCTTACTTTATTTAATCTAGTTCTTACAAATGACCAAGTTTTAGTTTGGTTATAAAATGGATTCCTCAAACTCTGGGTAATTTGATCATCTGACTTTCCCAAAACAACCAATGCAACTTGATTTCCTTATATTTACTAAACCATACAGCTTGTGTTAATCAGCTCAAAACAACAAATAATTACAAAGGACACTGAATAAAAGGTCCTTATCATCCTACAGATCCCATAAAATCTCGTCAGAAACTGCTAAGCTGATGAGATATGCATGCCATAGAACATCCTGTCCAAATCACTGTGCTATTTTGCTAGCTGTTGAAATTGTATTTTGGTACCAGGTGCACCCTGAAAAATAACTTTAAGGTTTAAGATTCAGGGATCGTCATAATTTTCATATATATTCATTCAATATATTCATTCATTTTTAAAAAATACATTTTCAAATAAAATAGGCACAAAAACTTGACATCACATGGTTGCTAAAAAATTTAGTATTTTAATCAGTTATTAATGTGTCCTTTTTGAAAAGCGGTCAATTAAAAGATGTACTTTTTTCTTTGAAAATACTAAGTTTATTGCCAAATGGCAATATTCATATATTATGACCAAACTATGTAGAAATTACAGTAGAGATTATTTAAATAATTTTCTTTTCTTTTTTTTTTTTTTGAGTTGGAGTCTCACTCTGTCACCCAGACTGGAGTGCAGTGGCCGCTTCCGCCCACCGCAGCCTCGACCTGCTGGGCTCTGGCGATCCTTCCGCCTCAGCCTTCCAAGTAGCCGGAACTACAGGTGTGCGCTACCACGCCCGGCTAATTTTTTGATTTTTATTGTAGAGATGAAGTCTCGCCAAGATGCCCAGGCGGGTCTTGAACTCGCAGGCTCAGGCAATCCACTCACCTTGGCCTCCCAAAGCACGGGATTACAGGCTGAGCCACCGAGCCCGGCCTAAATAATTTTCAAATGCCTTGGAAATAACCCTCCAACTACAACCACTCAGTAGAAAAAGATAATTTCACTCTCAATATGTGAACTATCTATAAGTAAACTACAATAAACTGTCATAAGAGAAAACTAGAAATAAAGTACTAAACCAGCTATAGCACGTACCAGTGATGGTTAAAATAATTGGTTCATGTATGTGTATATTACCTTTTACATTTCACAATTACATATCTAATTTAACCTTTAAAAGCCTATGAAGATTAAATATATAACACAGATCTCATAACTAAAATTCTTCTTATAGCACATCATAATAAAAAAGGTGACAGTATAAGTACCATTTTAGCAGCTGCTAAAAACTTGCATCATAACAAAATTCAAATAGTGGATATACTTTAAGATTTCCTAAAAAGCAACAGTAAAATATTTTAGATATGTAAGCACAGTACTTATGAATCGAGTATGAGTATGTTTCAAAAAAGTAATATAAAACTTCAAACACCATTCATTACTATTTATACACAAACCCTCAAAAACACATCAGTAAAACTTATCTTATTTGAGAATGTGATCATTTTTTAAAAATGTGTGAACTGGCTAAAGAACCATGGAAAAAGAGAACGTATGACGTGCATTGAACCAAGAATCATTTAAAAAGAAATCTTACACTATGAATGAATTTAAGGTCCAGAGCCCAAATATCTAGAAAAAACTTCAAGATATTAAATATTTCCATAATAAATGTCTTCAGTGAGACTATAACAGTCAATCTCATAATTATGTATATTTACTTTATAAATAGTCCTTTTCAGTCAGAAAGTACTTCAGGTTCACTATTAGCCTCAAATCAAGGAGGAGAAAAACCCTAATGAGAAACAATTTACCAAGCAATTGATAATCATAAAGTATCACTAGCTAAGAAACATTTTTAAAAGATACTTTGGTCTAATATTTATATTCCTTTTCAGCTATTTCACTGAAAAGTTACTGATGCTAATATTTAAAAATTAGTCAATATAGTAGTTTTCATTATAAAAACAGATTTTCATATTGACTTGACCTCTGCTACAGACATATTCCACCCTTCACACATGCAGTGCTTGTTAGAGTATAAGAGGATGCACAACCACTGTCACCAAGAACACTGAGGCATGCATGAAGGATCACTCCAGGCATGCTTGAAACCCAAAAAGGAGCAGCTCAGCCACTTACAGCAGTGCCAAGTCCATGCTTGAAAGTGCTCTATATAGTCAATTGTAGACAAAAATATTTCACAATTAAAGTAACTAACCACAAAGTATCAAATATATATATACACACACATACTTGGCTTTATTAAATATAAATGTTAAGCATTTATGAAAACTATCCACTCAAACAAATGGAATACTTTTAGTATTAAGAGCCAAAAGGGGAGAAAAGTAATAATATTTTATTTTTAAATTACACATAAACCTGAGAGGGAAAAAAAAATCTTTTTTTTTAATGGCCTTAAGTAAACCTTGAGGATACAATGTCCTGGTTCATAATACTGACAAAAGTACAGTAATTTTTTAAAAGTTGTTAATACAAACATACCTTACCTACAATCAGACTCCTTAAACTTGCCCTTTTGAAACAAAGAGCATTCAATGCTACTTCTACCAGTAACTTAACTCGGTGATAATCAACTAAGGGAAGCATTGTTCCGACAGGCATTTTTACTTGTTCCTAATGATTAGGGATGGGGGACAAGGCACAACCAATATGTAGTAAGATGAGGGCCTGTGATGCTAAGTATCCTGCAATGCACAAGGCAGTCCTGCACAACAAAGAATTGTACTCCCAAAATGATACTAACACCCTATGGAGAAAAACTAAATGTGTCACTAAACACTTTTATCAAAAGCTATTTCTCCCCTGCAGGAATGGATAAAAGAAAATGTGGACAGCATTTGTATAAAATTATTATCTGAGGTCAGTGAGGGTGGGGGATTATTCCAAACTCACCAATGACACAGTCATAAAATGCAATTTGATTATAAACAGGACAAATATACTAAGTTATCAGTGATTAATGTTCCTTTTAAGGAAGGAAAACAGGACAAAGTTGACCTATTTACAAGTAAGTGTGAATATCTACCATTGGATAAAAGTGGACCCATGGAAAATAACACATAACAACCTTCAAAATATGGTTGTTCATAATTAGAACAGATTTTAAAAATCCACAATGCAAATCTAATAAGATTTTGCTCTCTTTCTATTTAATGTATGTACATCAGAGTTGAAGGTTTTACAAGTACCTTTTAATGTGTTCCCTTACTTTGTCTGATTTGACTTTGTATCTTGTGATCACCTTTTTAAGTATGTTAATATTTCATTTTGTTTAAGGAGGGTTAAAAAATACGATCAAATAGAGTCTAATCATTTTGTCAATGTGCCACACTGGGCCACAGGATAAATACTATTAATTTTAACTTAAGTTGTAAGGTGACAAACCAATGTATCAAATGTTGTATAAGGGCTAAGAGTATTCAAATAACATGTGAAGAGCTTTGGGATGAAAACATTACATTATATCTTCAGTGGCATTATTCTCAAGGACTTCTGATCTAGTAACATGTTTTAGGTTTAATCTTCCAAAGGCTATTATTAATTCCATCATCCTCAATAAGGTCTCTCAGGTCAAGGTTAAATATGGAAAACACAAGCTGGGGTGGCTCACACTTGTAATCCCAGCACTTTGGGAGGCAGAGACGAGAGGATTGCCTGAATCCAGGGGTTTAAAGCCAGCCTGGGCAACTTGGCGAGACCTCGTGTCTACAATCAATCAAAAAATTAGCCAGGTGTGGTGGTGCACACCTGTAGTTCCAGCTACTTGGAAGGTAAAGCAGAAGGACTGCCTGAGCCCAGTGGGCCAAAGCTGCGGTGGTCGTGAGCGTTCCACTGCACTCCAGCCTGGGCAACAGAGTGAGATTCTGACTCAAAAAAAAAAAAGAAAAATGTGTATTAACTACTGGATAAAACCACCTTGGAGAAAACTTCCTATACCATACAGAACCTTTTTGAAAACCAAGAGTATATTTCTTTAAAATAATTTTAAAAGAAAATACACAAAGAAAAAATTTTTTTAGTAATTTAGCAATACCTTTTGGACTTACATTGGTGATGATTCGATGGAGTGAATTTACCAGCACATAGTGAAATGTGGAAGGTGAATTCTGAGCCAGGCAGATCTATGCGGTAAAGGAAAAAAAGTAGATTATTTCTATGATAAAAATATTTAGTAACACAAATGCAGACAGAAAGAACAGCCAACAGAACATTTTTTAAAAACAGGATAAATGTTTAAGTGTTAGCAAATGTTTACGGTCTTGAAATTAACATCAATATTAAAAAATACTGAAATAAAGGTGAACCTATTCAACTCTCTAGTCTTTTCACATTCAGAGGAGAACAGCATCAGTAAACACAGCTGGATAAAAACCAATGCTCTTACCTTAAAGTGTTGGTTGTTGTGAGGGCTTATACGAAAGCAAGAAACAAGGCAATCAATCATCAGGTCCACATCTGCTGGCTGACTGCCTCTTGAGAATGGTTTACTTGGATTAAAAAGCAGGTTCTATAAAAATCCCAATAGAAAACACAAGCTTTTAAATAGCCATGCAGTTTTTCTTTACTAATATGTGATAACATCAACCCGTTACCCACATAGATGGCAATAATAGTTGCCAGGAAAAGTACAAACCACAGTTCATCAGTCTGATACAACTCTTCCACTACCACATATGATTCCTTGGAAGCCCTAATTTCCGTATTATTTTAAATCTGTATCTGTATGTTTATGCTAATTTAATAAAACGGGTTAATTCTGTGTCTTTGCCTTTTCAGTCCACTCGGGCTAATGAGCATAGCAACAACAAAAGCCAAGTTCTATGAATTTATTATCAAAGAAGATGACTCAGAACTTTAGAGTTAGCAATGATCTTGGACATAATACTTATATTAGAAAATTATTATTCATTTGATTTTCTTAAAGTCTGTAATAGAGAAAGAATAAGCAGGTTACCTTAAGATCAACCACCATGGACTGAACAAGCAGGAAAATGACAGAGTTATCTTCCCAATTGATGTAAGTACTTGCTTTACACAGTTTGACACAGGCAATTGCAGCACTTTCTGTCAGCTGCCTACTTCCTCCATGGCCAGCAAGAGCTTTTCGTAGACTGTCCAGAAACAACTTCTAAAGAATTCAGAAACAGCAATAAAATATGAAGTTTCTTCTATATCAGATTTGTCTAATATATAACAAATTAACAGCCCCTAAAACTCATACTATAAGGAATGCATACTTTATGACTTTCAATTTCATAATTTAATAGTTGTCATTATTTAAATTTTTCTCAAATACAGAAAAGGAATCTGTTCTCTATTTTCTTTATTGAATGATTAGAGGAATATAAGAAACAGTTGTTCCCAGACAAGATCGTTAAATTCCCAAGTTTGAATTCAGCGGATTATATTCTTTTTTTGATATTTAAACTCTAAATATTATACCATCTTGGCTATGGTCTATGTCAAACTGTTTCATCCTTTTCTAACACTCTAGGCTATATTCAACCTTCAGCCTTCTAAATAAAAATATATTCAAGGGTATTCTGTTACTCTAAATTGTTTCTCAGAAAAAATTACCCATTCTTGTGATCTCAATCCCTCTTTACAGCTCTCTGACAAATTTCTTCCCTTGGTTTTTCTCTTAAATTAAAATCTCATATCTCAGGCTGAGGTGGAAGGATCGCTGAAGCCTAGCAGGTCGACACTGGGGTGGCTGTGAGTGTGCCACTGCACTCCAGCCTGAAACTACAACTCAAAAAAAAAAAGAAACAAAAAAACCCCTCGTATCTCCACCTACACGTATTCTCAAATGTAACATGTCAAAAACTATATTCATCCAACACCAGCAGAATACTCATTCTTTGCAAGTACACATGGAACATTCTCCAAAACAGATCGTTATGTTGGGCCACAAGTCTTAATACATTTAAAGAAATTGAAATCATATAAAGTATCTTTTCTGATTATAATGGAATGAAGTGAAAAACCAACAGCAGATGGAAAACTAGAAAACTCACAAATATATGAACATTAAACAACACATCCTTTGAAAACTAATAGATCAAAGGAAAAAAACAAAGAAAATTTTAAAATATCTGAGACAAATAAAAATGAAAATACAACATACCAAAACTTACAGGATACAGTGAAAACAGTGCCAAGATGAAAATTTATAGCTATAAACACACTAAAAAATAAAAAAATTCTCAAATCAATAACCTAGCCATATACCTCAAGGAACAACAAAAAAAGAGCAAACTAAACCAAAACTGGCAGAAGGAAAGGAATAATAAAGATTAGAGCAAAGACAAATTAACAAAGACTAGAAAAACAATGGAGAAAAATTACAAGACCAGAAGCTGATTCTTTGAAAAGGTCAACAACATTGATCTTTAGTTATAAACTGATTTTTAAAAAGAGAAAAGACTCAAATTACTAAAGTCAGAAATGAAAGCAGTGATACTACTAATATTACAACATTAAAGGTATAAGACAATACTATATAAAATTATATGCCAAACTGAATAACTGAACAAAATGGACAAATTCCTACAAATATACAATTTACCAAGACTGACTCCTGAAGAAACAGAATTATAACTTGTAAGAAGATGAAGTCAGTAATGAAAAACCTTTCAACAAAGAAAAGCCCAGGATCAGGTGGCTTTCACTAATAATTCTATCAATCATTTAAAGAAGAATTTCCACCAATCCTTCTCAAACACTTTCAAAAAATTAAAGAGAAGGGAACACTTCTTAACTTATTCTATAAGGCCAGCAATACTCTGATACCAAAGTCAAACAAAGACACTACAAGAAAACTACAGACTAGTATCCCTTTAAATATCCCTTTAAAATTTTGATGAAAAAATCCTCAACAAAACATAATAAACCAAATTCAGCAACATATTAGAAGGATTATACACCATGACCAAGTGGAACTTACTGGAGGAGTACAAGATGGTTTTTAAAGAAAAAACAAAACAAAAATGAGGCTGGGTGCAGTGGCTCAAGCCTGTAATCCCAGCATTCAGGGGTTCAAGATCAGCCTGATCAACATGGTGAGACCTCATCTCTACAATAAATCAAAAAATTCACCAGGCGTGGTGGCACACACCTGCAGTTTCAGTTACTTGAAAGGCTGAAGCGGAAGGATAGCTTGAGCCCAGCAGGTCGAAGTTGAGGTGGCCATGAGTATGCCACTGCACTCCAGCCTGGGCGACAGAGTGAGATTCTAACTCACCAAAAAAAAAAAAAGAAAAAAAGTAATACACCACATTAATAAAATAAAACAAAATCCCCACATGATCATCTCAATTAATGCAGAAAAGGCACTTGACAAAATTTAACACCTTTCATGATAAAGCCAAGCAAGCTAAAAACAGGACATTTTAACATAATAAAGGCCATACATTAAAAACCAATAGCTATCAACATACTCAATGGTTAAAGACTGAAAGTTTTTTACTCTAAAATCAGGAACAAGGTAAGTATACCCACTTTTGTCACTTTGATCAATATAGGACAGAAAATTCTAAACAGAACAATTGGGCAAGAAAAAAAAGTCCTACAAACTGGAACAGGAAAAAGTAAAATTATCTCAATTCACAGGTGGCATTACCATACATGTAGAAATCCCTAGGGATTACACAAATTTAGACTTAATAAACAAATTCAGCAAAGTCATAAAATACAAAATCGGCACACAAAAATGTTTGCATTTCTATGCACAAGCAATAAACAATTCAAAAAGGAAATTAAGAAAGCAATTCCACCTATATTTGCATCAAAAATAAAATGCTTAGAAATTAACCTAATTAAGGTGGAAGTTTTGGACAATTAAAACTACAAAACATTGCTGAAAGAAATTAAAGAAAACAGAAATGAATAGAAAGCTATCTCACACTGATGGACTGTTTGTTTGAGTAGGAGTCTCACTCTGTCACCCAGACTAGGCTCAGGTGATCCTTTCACTTCAGCCTTCCAAGTAGATAGAACTATAGGCGTGGGCCACCATATCCAGTTAATTTTTTTATTTATAGTAGAGACAAGATCTCGCCATGTTGCCCAGGCTGGTCTCGAAGTCCTGGATTCTGGCAATCCTCTCGCCTCCTCCTTCCAAAGTGCTGGGATTACAAGCATGAGCTACTGTGCTTGGCAATAGACTGTTAAGGTAACAATATACCCCAAAGCAATCTACAGATTCAATGCCATCCCTATCAAAATCTCAACAGCATTTTTTGCAGAAATAGAAAAACCTATCCTAAAATTCATGTGGAACCCCAAAGAGCCAAAACAATCTTGAAAAAGAAGAAAACTGGAAGACTTACACTTTCTGATTTCAAAACTTTACTACAAAGCTATAGAGTAATCAAGACAATGTAGTAGTGGCATAAAGACAGATAGACAGACCAACGGAATAGAATGGAAAGCCTAGAGAGAAACCCTTGCACATATGACCAGATGATTTTTGACAAGGATGCTGTGAACATTCAGTAGAGAAACAACAGTCTTTTCAACAAATGATGTTAGGAAAACTGAATATTCAAATGCAAAAGAATGAAGTTGGATCCTTCCATCATATACAAAAGTTAACTCAAAATAGATCAAAGACCTAAACTTAACAGCTTAAACTACAAAACTCCTAGGAAAAAAATATAGGAAAAAGTCTTTTCAACCTTGGATTTGGCAATGATTTATTGTATATGATACCAAAAAAGCAAAGGCAACAAAAGAAAAAGTAGATAAACTGAATTTCATCAAAATTAAACACTTTTGTGTATCAGAGGACACTATAAAGAAGTTGAAATAATGAATGGAAGTATTTGCAAATCATATATCTAAAACGGGATTAATAATTCACAATATATAAAGAACTCACACAACTAAAAAGTAAAATGTAAAGATTTACAGATACTTTATAATTTTTCAATGAAAACAGATGAACTAAACCATTACCTCAAGGAATAAAAATAGAAGTAAAAGTTAAAAATTAATAAAACAGAAAATGTTAAATTCTGAAAACAAAGGCAAAAGGCTAGATGTTAAAGACCAATAAAACAGTAAACATGAAAGAGAAAAAAAAAGAAATGAGGAGTTATAAACATGGATAATGAAGATAATTATAAAAGAATATAGAAATATTGTAAGTAAATCTTATCTGTATTTTTATAAGTCGAATATATATATATATATTATGTACAACTCTGTGATGATAAAATCGAAAAATATATTTTCTAGTAAAGAAGAGCAAACTATCAAAAGTGACTTTTTTAAAAAAGACAGAAATTCCTCAAAAAATATAATTAACATATGATCCAACAATTCCACTTCTGGGTATATAGCCAAGAGAACTGAAAGCAGGGTTTTACAAGGGTACCTGCAAAATGAACATCTGTATCCCTAACCCTGAATTGTACCCCACATCTTTAAAATTAAAAAATTAAAAGTAAAAAAAAGAAAGCAGGCTCTTGAAGTTATAAAGAACTCACATAACTAACATGTGTACACCACGTTCATAGCAGCATTACTCATAACAGCCAAAAGAAAGAAGCACTCCAAATATCCGTCAGCAGATAAATTTGGATAAATAAAAAATTGGAATATATATATGGTGAAATATTCAGCCTTAAAAGAAGGAAATTCTGACATGCTACAACATAGACGAACATTGAGGACATTATGCTAAGTGAAATAAGTCAGTCAAAAAAGACAAATCCTGTATAATTCCATTTATATGAGGTACCTAGAGTAGTCAAATTCATAGAGACAGAAGGTAGAAGAGTGGTTGCCAGGAGTTGGTTGGGAGTAGGGGAGAACAGGGAATTGTCTCATGGATATAGAGTTTCAGTTTTATAGGATGAAAAAGTTTTGGAGACTGGCTGTACAATGTGAATTATACTTAGCACTACTAAACTGTATATTTTTAAATGGTTAAGATGATAAATTTTATATGTATTTACCACAATCAAAAATTTTAAAAAGAGGCCAGGCGCACTAACTCTTGCCTGTAATTCCAGCACTTTGGGAGGCCGATGCGAGAAGAATTGAATTCGAGACCAGCCTAGTCAGCCTGGTGAGACCTCATCTCTACAATAGTTTCTTATTAGCCAGGTGTGGTGGCACACACCTGTAACCCCAGCTACTTAGAAGGCTGAGGTAGAAGGATTGCCTGAGCCCAGCAGGGTGTGGTAGCCATGACCATGCCACTGTACTCTGGCCTTGGGTGACAAATTGAAACTCCAACTAAAACAAAATATTTTTTAAAGAGACTAGAAAAACTATATAGATCTATAAGAGAGATCATAAAAGGTGATCAATGAGTTATTTTAAATAGACAGCAGATACATAGACTGATTCAAGAAATATCCACTAGAAATCAGGATTAGTACTTGACTCAGGAGGATGTTTTGATATACATTGTAAAATGAGTACCACAATCAAGGTAATTAACATATCCATCACTTCACACATTTTACCTTTTTTTTTGTTTGTTTGTTTTGAGTTGGAGTCTCACTCTGTCGCCCAGACTGGAGTGC